CTTTAGTAAATCAAATATATAATTTATAAACCCCTTCCCCCCAAGAAAAGAAATCTCCAAACTTAGAGGCTTTTTATGGAGAATTCTAACAAACTTTTAAAGAAGAATTAGAAGCAATTCTAAATAATTTTTCCCCCCCAAAATAGAGAGAAACATTTCTCAGCCAGGCCTGGTGGCACACACCTGTAATTCCAGCAGTTGAGAGGCTGAGGTGGAAGGATTGCCCAATTGCTGCAAGTTCGAGGCCAGCCTGGGCTACAGACTGAGTTCAAGGCCAGCCTGAGCTACGTAGTGAGATGCCGTCTCAGAAAAAAAAAAAATTGTCAATTCATTTTATCCTGCTGTCAAAACCAGACACACTACAAAAGAAATCTAAAGCCCAGAATCATTTCTGGAATAAACACAAATATACTTAACAAAATATCAACATGTTGCAATGTGTAAAAAACATTAGATAACCTACCCAAGTGGAGTTTATTCCAAGGTTTGTCCTATGTAGTTCTAAATATATGTACAGCAAATATATAAGGCAGTTGAATTTTGTTCACCAGTTAGATGTCAATGTAATCCATTGTTTTAATGGACTGAGGATTACATCAATCAATGCAGTAAGAACTTTTGAAAATTTTAGCACTCATTCATGATAAAACTGCAATAGGAATAGAAGGGAACAGCTGCATCTTGATAAAAAGTAATGACAGAGCTGGGTGTGATGGTGCACATCTGTAATCCTAGCACTTGGGAGACTGAGGCAGGAAGATCAGCGTGAGTTCGAAGCCAGCCTGAATTACATAGACCCTGCCTCAAAAAAAAAAAAAATGACAGAATACCTATAGCTAGTATTACAGTTAAGGATAAAAGACTGAATTAAGAGAGAGCAAGGCAAAAATGTCCATTCGTACTCCATTTAATGCTGGAAGTTCTAGCCACTGGTTTAAAGTGAGAAAAAGAATGAAAGGTATACAGATTAGAGAGGAAAATTCCTATCCTATGGGATCTACAGAAATCTAATAAATGAATTCCATAAAATTACAGGACATAAAATACACATACAAAAGTCAGGTCCATATCTCTATACTAGCAATAAACAGACATTGAAATTAAAAATACATTAATATTTACAATAATTTTAAAACAAATTTAACAAAACATAATTTTCAAAAATGTGTACATTTATTAGTGTATATTACACAGAATAATGCAAATTTTATCATTTTCATACATGTCTAGCACAGCTTGGTTGTATAGGATTTTAATGCTGAAAGCTACACAATATTGAGGGAAAAGAATCAGAGAAGATATAAATGAATGGAGCAAAATATGTACATCATTGAAAGACTACATAGTGAAGATGTCAAGTTGCTATGTGAAATTCAGACTTAGCACAATTTCTGTCCTAAACCTAGCAAGACTTATAAGTTTATTCTAAAATGTGTGTGGAGAAGTAGAAGAAACACAGTAGCTATAAATTATTAGAACAGTCGGAATAATCAGTATACCCACTTTAGGACTTGCTATGAAGCAACAGGAATCCGAAGAGTGGTATTGGCAGAGGGATAGATATTCAGACCAGTGGAACGGGACAGGGAACCCAGGAGTAGACTTGGAATAAGTGGCTGTACTCAACTGATTTTCAGTACTGAGGACTGCTCCCAGAGTCTTTGCACTGAGTTGCATCCCCAGGTCTCCCCCTACGCTTTAAAAAAAAAATTTATATTTTGAGAAAGGGACTTGTAAAGTCACAGAGTTGTCCTCTGGACTCAAACTTGCCTCAGTGCTTGGATGATAAGCATGCACCACCGTGCCCAGCTTACTTAACTGATTTTTTTTTTTTTTTGTACTGGGGATCAAACTCAGGACCTTGAGCTTGTGAGGCAGGCAGTGGAACCACTGAGCTAAATCCCCGGGCTACTTAACTGATTTTTTTTTCCAGTACTGGGGATTGAACTCAGGACCTTGCGCTTACAAGGCAGGCATGGTGCAACCAAGCTACTGATTTTTGACAAAGGTGCAAAAGCAATTCAATAGGGAAAAACAGCCTTTTCAAAAATTGGTTTCCATGAGTTGGATATTGATAGGCAGAAAAATTAACCCTGACCAAAGGGTCATGGTTTATCTGATCTTTTTTTTTTTTTTTTTAAAAGACTCTTGTAATGGATCACAAATGTAAATACAAAACATAACACTTTTAACTTTTAGCAAAAAGTCATGGGAACAAATCTTAAGGATATAGAGGTAGGCAATTATTTCTTAAGGCTTAACACCAACTCATAGAAGAAAAGTTGGTAAGTTGGTCTTCAAACATTTTTAGAAGTTTGCTATACTCTTTTAAGAGGATTAAAAGACAAGCTACAGGATGAGAATATTTGCCAGGCACATATATGACAAAGGACTCAGATCTTGAGTACATAAAAACTCTTAAAACTTGAAAGAGTTGGAGATATTTCGCGAAGGTGATATACAGATGGTGAGGAAGCATGTGAAAAGATTTTCAACATCCTTCATTAGCCATTAGAGAAATTCAAAGTGAAACCAAAATGGGTATCACTACACACATACCCTAAAGACTAGAGAAATAAGGGCAGCTTTGCATGCTGGTGCGGAGGCAAAGACTGGCACACTCTGGATTGTCAGTTGGGCATCAAAAGCAGTCATTCTGTACAGCAACCTGGATGTTTGTCCAGAAACTTAAGTACGCAGCAACTGTACAATCTAGCAGTGACACTTATCCCAGAGAAATAAAAATTGATGCTTACACATAGACGATTTTGTTTGTAATGGCCTAAAACTAGAAACATCTAGATGCTGTAGAGTGATGAATGCTTACAGAAATAGTGCCCTGTCCACACCCTGGCAGGCTCCTCAGTAATCCGTCTGATGCCCTGCTGACATAGGATGACCTGCAGCAGTCTCTAAGAGTGATGCTAACTGGGACAGGCCATTTTCCATTCATACACCATGATCCTATTCATGTATTGCTCCATTTATATCATTTTTGAAATGACAAAACTAGCACAATGTAGAATAGTTCAGTGGTTTTTGGTGGTTAAGGACAGGTGCTGGAAAAGTTGAGTGGTTATGAAAGGGCAGTGTAAAGTGGTGAAAATTTTCCACCTCCAGACTCTATCAGTGTTAGTGACTTTATACTATAATTTTCTGCAATACTACCATTGGGGGAAGTTAAAAGGATTTCTGTATTGTTACAATTGCATGTGAGTCTATAGTTGCCTCAAAATAAAAAATTTAAGGAAAAATGGATGAGATGAAAGGTATTTTTGGTGAAAAGTGATAGTGAGTTAGAAATGTATTTTGCAAGCCTTTTGAACACCAGAATAAAAATTTGGACTTAAATCTTTAGATTACAAGGAACTGCAAAAAAAAAAAAAAATCCTGACTGCAGCTACAACACAAAAAAATGGATAGAAAATTACTCTATTTACACATGTTGAATAAATTGTTTTACAGATAATATTATTTATAGCTTGTGACAGTCTTTCAGCAATACCTTCTAAAAATATCATTGTGTTTGGAAATTAATTGTTTTTTAAAAAGAAAGCCTTAAAATAGAATCGAGTTTCTTAGTATATTAATGCTCTTAAAAGTGATTGCATTACAAAACTACATGAAATAGGACAGTTTATTGATGTTAAACCCTAAAATTGATCCTGTCACTGGAACCACAACTTCAGCAGAGAATGATAGATACGTTTTTTTAAGAAAAGGTGTAAGTTAATACCTTGCAGTTGCTGAAAGTATATTTTGTTGATCTCTGGTCATAGTTTCCCATTGAAATAATACTACAAATGATGGCTACATTTCTGAGTCACAGATCTCTTTGAGAATCTGAAGAACATTTGAGGCCATATCCTCAGACAGACCACCTACCATATTTTTTCAAAGAATAAGGTTCACAGACCACCTGAAAGCTATCATCTCTGAACTGTAGTTTTAAAGAAGCCCTATCAGAAGGAAGTTCTAGCGTATCTGTATATAGTTAAATTCAGTGTGATATGTAATCCTCTAACACTAACTACACAGTGGTCAAGTTTGCTTGGACTAAGGCAGTGATCACATGAAATTTAAAAAGGATTTTTAAAAATATCCAACATCTGTTACAAGAGGCTTATAGTCTAGTTTAAAAAGGAAGCTGTATTTATCAAATAATAAATTATTAGAAGTTAGATTGAGATAGGGCAGTTTCTACTTTTAGATTCAGGGCATTATAACTATTATACATGGCTCAAGAGGACATTCTTGTAGCCAAACCTCTTTGGACATGGAACGAAGAGATGGAAAATAATCTCTATGAATAAATATCATGAAATAACAAAGTGAGATAGGTAAACCGAAGACATGTATTATTAGAAAACTCATTTAGAGTTTATGACGGACCATGGGATAATGTAGTGAAAACAGACACGATCAGTACTTCCATGGAACTTACTGTCTTAAACAAGATAAATTGTTGAGAACTGGAACAGCTCTCTGTAGCACTAGAGTGCAAATCTACATTTTCTTGTCAATGCATTGAATAGTGTGGGTATATTTATTGTGCAAAGAAGTTAAACTTGAGCCAGTTACTTACCCATTTTGAGCCTCAGAGCCCTGAGCTGTAAAGTGGGGATATTAACAGATCATGTAATAAGGTATTGGGTGCAAAATTAATAACAACTCCGTGGATTATTGGTTATTATTAGTTTGACCAATCTTGATGATTAGGCTTCTCTGGGCAGAAGTTTTAAGGGATGGAGCACAGTATTAAGAAAGAATAGATGGACATTCTTTTCTCTCGAGGTAGGACTTGCCTGTCCAGTGAAAAGAGTTGCACTGAGAAATAATAACATGTGTAGTTGGAAACAATACACAATATCTTTTTTACAATTGTCACTATAATTTTCTTGATTAGTTTCCAGTAATTTTTAAGTGACAGTTCCTGATATGAGGCAGTCTTTTAGAAAATAAAAACTTTGCTTACTGACTCTTACTCCATACCTTTTCAGAGATTGGAAATGCTTATGCTGTTTTAAGTAATCCCGAGAAACGAAAACAGTATGACCTCACCGGCAGTGAAGAGGAAGCCTGTAATAACCAGAGCAACGGCAGGTTCAACTTCCACAGAGGGTGTGAGGCGGACATCACCCCAGAAGACCTGTTTAATATCTTTTTTGGTGGTGGATTTCCCTCAGGTACTTTCCTATTAATTAAATACTACGTTTTGTGAGGGTAAAGGCCCTTGCTCCTGTTGGCCATTCAGAGCTACATCTGCTTTCTCCCTTGCATTTCTCACTGGTTAGGGTCCCACAATGCCTTTCCCAGAAGGGAGGAGAAAAATGAGATAGTGTTGTTACTTTTTCTATAGCTCACCTTTCTCTAGAACATATTTTAATTGAAAAACAATTGAAGAGTACAGATATTCTGTATTTTATCTAAAGCTGAAGAAAGAAAGTCTAAGCAGGAAATTCAATGTGATGTCTTAGGTAAGTAAGTGCTACTAGAATTCCGTGACATCTCCTGCACCTGGATGATCAACAGCTTCTCCATATCCCTGTAAATGTTTTATTAGTGACATTATAGATCATTCTTTTGGATGAATGTGGAAGTCCTCAGACATTTCTAATGAAATAGTAAAAAGTCTGACTCATAGTTTTTAAAGTTTTCTGGGTTTTCTTATTAAGATAGATATAATTACTTGAACTAGTCTATCACAGCGAATTATGGAATGACATCACAAAAAGAATGGCTCATGTAGTACCAACATCAGTAGCTTTTAATTCCACCTACATTTATTGTAACTAGTTTCTATAGAAAGCAATTTTCTTTGGGAGAAGCTCCTCTATGGTAGTTAAAATTACAGTTCCAGGTTTTACTTAAGGTGGTGAGTTAAACATGCTGTTCAAAATTAGGAGAATCTTTATGAATGAGAATGTAATTTGGCCTAATGGCCCTTTCTGAATATTAATGAGGACTGCAGTCATTGATGGGACATAATGCGTAATCCTTGAAGGAAAGAGGATGTATAAATATAAATTAATGATTGAAAATATAACCTGAGTTTTGATGTATCCAAATACATAATTATCATAAAAGTTATTAAAACTAGTAATTTTGACAGAAAATACACTAGGAACAATCTTCCAGGCAATAGTGAATGTTTTTCTGATGATTGATTTGCAGCCCTTTGCTAGTTATAACATAGCTTACTTTGTCAGTAATAGCCATTTCTGGTTTGTCTGCTTATCTGAAATTGAATATCCATCAGCAAGAGAATGAATGAATTGTAATCCACCCATTGTGATGTATTAGATACCTTTTCAAAATGAACTAGAGTGCTGTCCTTGGTGTTTTAGAGATGTGTGTGATTCATTTAAGTGCAGAAAGCAAAGTTTCCGAGTATGACTGGAAGGTTTGTAAAAACAGGAAAGTCCTCTGTGTATGTGCTGCTCCTGAGGTCCCCCTGTCCGAGCCTGCACAAGGGAGGAACTGGTACTTCCGGGAGAGGTTACCTCGTCTGGGAAGGGTCGGTCCTGTTTCTATCCACTCTTCACGCACTGAGGAGAGGACAGTTCATATTCACTGTTCAAAATACACATCTCTTATTTTAGTAATTTGCTAAAAGTGTAAAAGATATGTAACTTTTCTGATCACAACTGCTCCCCCTAACTTAACCTTGCTTTTTATTTTGATTTGTAGGTAGTGTACATTCATTTTCAAATGGCCGAGCTGGTTATAGCCATCAACATCAGCATCGACATAGTGGACATGAAAGAGAAGAGGAAAGAGGAGATGTATGTTTATGATACAATTACAAATCACAAAATGTCAGATTTCAGCCCACAAAAAGCAATTACAGTTATCTAAAAGTAGGACGAGCTGTTTTAGAATTAATGAGTTTTCTTTACCAGCGGTGTGCTGTGGAGACTAGAAATCCCTTAGGGATGTTGTGGGGGTGGAGTGGGTCACCATTGGGGGTGGCTGGGCAGTGTGACCCTGCAGATTTGGTATTCTGGATTCTGTGCATGTTTTGGAGATACTTTTTGATCCTAAAACTTCAGAATTAATACTGAAAACCTAAATTAGAAGTAACTTTGCTTTGTTCTAATGATGTTGCACTCACTTGCCATAGCGTGAGGTGGAAAGGTAAGGAGAAAGGGCTCTAGACTAGAAATTAGAATTAGAAGGTGGGGCTTCTCCTCAACCCCATCTCCCATCTTCCAGCCAGGTGACAGCAGTGTTGCAGCTGTGGCTTATTGGTTACCTCTGTGTGCCAGAGAGAGAAGGACCTCAGCATGTACAGAACGAGGTCAGCCTTAGCAGTGCTCTCAAACCAGTCTGCCAGTGTGCCTGGACAGTTGCTTTCTTAAGAACTACTTCAGGAGCCCAGTGTGATCTGGCAGGTTTGAAAGCACTGGATGATCTCAGATGCCCCTTCTGCGTCTAAAAATGTATGACACCTATTGCATTATATTACAATTTATTATTCTTTGATGATTTTTTTATAGGGAGGTTTTTCTGTGTTTATCCAGCTGATGCCCATAATTGTATTGATCCTCGTGTCATTATTAAGCCACTTGATGGTCTCTAATCCTCCTTATTCTTTATATCCCAGATCGTAAGTAGCTAAGTGAAGTTTTACAAAAATTAATTGTTGCTGTTTCTTATCTAGCTTCTTTTAAAGGGCCTGTACTCTTTTATACTTTCAAATGCCAAATCTTTTACTACGTGTGTACCAAATTTTAAAATCTCTAATTTTTAAAAGAGCTACATAAGTGATAAATGTGTTTTATGTTATTTATATTTTCCACTGTGTGTAAGGACACAAGTGCTACATTTGAACTTGAATTTAATGTGGTAGGTATTGTGTTGACATTGAAGACAAAAACTACTTTAAAAGACAAAAGTACTTTAAAGATAAAAAGGATACAAATTGATCTTACATAGCTTTGTGTCATTAAGTGAAAAATGACTTCACTGAGGTCAGGAGATAAAGGAAATTTAATGCAACAACTTCAAGATAGTGAACATGAAAGAAACTGTAAAATCATATTGGCAATAAATTTACAGTGTTAAAAACAAGATTGCCTAAAGTAAGAATAACTTTTTATTTTTTCCAAATAAAGCTTTTGTTAGCTAAAAATTGAGAGAACTTTATAAGAACATAGTATATTAAAAGTATGTTTTTTAACGACATGAAATTCTGGCTTTAGGCAATTTGAGATAATGTAAATATTAATATTAAATTTTAAATTATTTTTTATCTTGTTACTTTGGTTTGTGGTAGAATGTTAGAATGCCCAATTTTAACTAAAAATAATCATGCATTTTTTTTCACAGTGGTTCAGGACAAACTATTAAAATGCAGACAGAAAACTTGGGAGTGGTTTATTATGTCAACAAGGACTTTAAAAATGAATACAAAGGAATGTTACTACAAAAAGTAGAAAAGAGTGTGGAAGAAGACTATGTGACTAATGTTCGAAATAATTGCTGGAAAGAAAGACAACAAAGTAAGTGAATCAAATGCTAAGCTTATTCGCAGTCTGTGGAGTTATTATAGATTTTCCTATTGTAGATATGGGGAATTACCTGCTGTGCAATCAAATCTCAGTACTTATAGTCAGCCTCTGCCTGAGGATTCCTCTCTCACCCATAGACTCAACCAGTCACTGATAGGAAATATTCAGAAGGAAATTGCGTTTGTCCTGAAAACATACAGACTTCTTTTTTTTTCTTGTCAGAGTTCTCCAAACAGTGCAGTGTAACAGCTAACATAGCATTTATGTAATACTAGTATAACTAATATTCAGCTAAAATGTAGAGAAAGATATAGATGGCTTATATCAAACACTATGCCTTTTTATATAAGAGACTTAAACATCCTGGGATTTTTTTTTTATCTTAGGGGGTCATGGGCCCAATGTCATGTGGCTCCTGAGGGGTACCTGTAATAGATTTTATATGCATGTGGTCTCACACAGTAGTTGGCACTTAAATGATACTTGTGTTACTGTTGTTATTAACATGTATTTGGTTGATAAGTGAATATCATGGTTAAAGGGCAAGCTCTGGAATTGTCACACAAGATCCTGACTCTAAGAATACGTTACCTAAATTTCAGTTCCCTTATCACTAAAACATGGATCATAACAGATAGTATGTGGTAAGCACTTAGCATGATGTCTTGTGCTGGAAGTATTCAATATTAGTATTTATTATAGTTATGATTTTTAATTGCATTGCACTCTGGGCAAGTGTTTCTACTTCTTTTTTTTTTTTTGGTACCAGGGATTGAACTTGGGTCCTTGCCCTTACGAGGCAGGTGGCAGAACCACTGAGTTAAATCCCCGCCCTAGGGCAAGTGTTTTTGTTTGGCATAATCTAGTTTAATCTTTTAACTGTCTGGCAAGATCAGTATTAATAGGTTTCATGGACCCTTCAATACATGCTCTGTTTATACATCACGTCTGCAATTAAATTGTACACATTTATATATGTGTCCTTTAAAGTTGCTACCACAAATATTAATTGTTTTTAATCATTCATGTACAAAACAGCTTGCTTGTATTAAAAAAAATATCAATGAAACAAAAGGCGCAGGTCTTTGAAACTGAAGGAGAGGAAAGAGGCAGGACAGCTGAGAGCAGTGTGTCATCCTTCACTGGTTCCTGGCAGGGAGGAGGAGCGATCGCAAAGGATGTCACTGGGGCAGCTGGTGAAGTCTGAGTGTGAGCAGTCCATCCATCGGGCTGCATTTCTAACCGATAATGCCACAAGAGACTGTGCTTATTTTGGGGCCAAAATGATGATCTGTTAAGAATGTAAAGTCATAATGTCTGTAACTTATCTTCAGCTCTGCAAAAGTAACCACAATAACAGTCTTATTTAGAGAGAGAGCTGAAACAAACTTGACAAAAATGTGAACAGTCAAAAATGGTAAAAAATTTCAGAGTGTTCATTGTGCTTATTTTTTGTGTAGTTTTGAAATTTTTCAAAATAAAGTTCAACAAATTCAGTACTTTTCTGGGCTGGGGCCTTGAATGGTGTTGAAAATCGGGGGGCGCCATGTGTTAATCTATTGATTGAATGTTTCCTTCCTGGGTTCGGATGGGATTTTCCTCCTTTTTCTTTGTGGTGCTGGAGATTGAACCGAGGGCCTTGCACAGCTAGAGAAGTGCTCGACCACTGAGCTATACCCCAGCCCTGAAATAATCTTGTTTCATAAAGTCACAAAATGATAGTTGATCAATGAATATTTTGCCAGGGTTTTCTGTTTTGGAATTACTTCTAATACTCCCTAGTGTATGGATTGGAAGATACAAGCCGTAATTTGAAATGCACAAGTGGAAAGAGTGTTAGGCTGGGAATTGCACATTAGGATTTGGAACTAGAGTCTGTCATTCATTAGCAGTGTGAACTTGGGTTTATTAACTCTGAGGTTTTGGGAAGAGTTATCGGCAAGTGGATTTTACAAATGCATTATTTGTAAAGGTATACAATAATATTGATTAAATTGTTAATCCTGGCCCAGAAGATTGAATAAAGATCGTTTCTGGAAATTATTACAGGTGGAATACTACACTTTTACCTGCAAGTCTATTTTAAATGTGGTCTTGACTGATGCCTATAAACCAGATGGCTTCTCCTTTGGCCATTGTTTTCTGTAAAGTAACTTATTCTTTCCCTTTTTTTGTTATGTATTCTCTAAGTACCTCCATCCTTTAGAAATATTAGTGAACAGTAAAAGGGCTGCAAGTAACTTCCCTAAAGAGTTGGGTTTGTTTGTTTGTTTGTTTTTTCTTCTTTTGAGACAGCATCTCCTTATGTAGTTCAGGGTGGCCTTGAACTCACTGTGTAGCCCAGGCTAACTTGAACTCACAGCACCCCTCCTGCCTCATCCTCCCAAGTGCTGGGCTTACAGGTGTGCACTACCACACCCTGCTAAGAGTTTTGATTTGTAGTCCATATATTTCTATTAGTAACTGAAGGAAGCCTCAAAAGTGCTTCTTTGCAGAATATCATTGTTATGATTGCATAACAAGCATTTTCCTGTGTTCCTTTAGTAACTATAGATATATAGGTATAGAGTATTGTCATTTTTAAAACTCAGATAAACTCAGAACAAGATTTTATATTTTTCCCAGTAGTGGGGATTGAACTCAGGACCTTGAGCTTGCTGGGCAGACACAGTGCCACTGAGCTACATACCCAGCTCAAGATTTTGTATTTTTATACTTAAGTTTGGGATTATCTGAAACCTTAACAAAAAATTCACAGCAAGCTTATCCCTGGCAGCATGACTACCATACGGCATTAGAGGATAAGAGGCCGAGATGATGCTTCAGGGCAGTGACTTTTAAACTACTGGCTCAGAAGCAAAGGGTAAGGATTCTAGCATGGGATGACAGGATTCTACCCTGGTTTCTTCTGTTTTGCATTTGGGGCTTCAAGTAAAGTTTTCATTTAAAGAGAAGGTTTTCTAGCTGGGCTCATAGCTACTTGAGAGGCTAAGGCAGGAGGACAGGAAGTTAAGCTGGCCTGGGCAGTTGAACAAGACCTTGTCTCAAGAAAGGGTTGGGATCCAGCTCAGAGGTGAGCACTTGTCTAGTGTTTACAAGGCCTTGTCTTCAATCCCCTGAACTTCCCAAGCGTCTTTTAGGGTTTATTTATTTAATACTTGGGTTTATTTGTTCTTTTTTAAAAGTCAGTTAACAGAAATACATTGAAGTTCTTTTATGAAGCATCATTTGAATTTAAACAGCTAGGTGATAAAAATGATTATTTATTTAGCAAAATATTTTTGTTAACAGAAACAGATATGCAGTATGCCGCAAAAGTTTACCGTGACGATCGACTCCGAAGAAAAGCTGATGCCCTGAACATGGACAACTGTAAAGAACTGGAGCGACTAACCAGTCTTTACAAAGGAGGATGAGCTGGGCTTTTTATTTGTACCTGTTAGCACACTCCTGATCTCTTCTGTAAATTTAGTTTCATCCTGAGAGCTGAAGAAAAGATTTGATATGAAAAACTAAACTGAGTAGTTGGTTTCTGAAATCTTGGGCTGTTTATAATCTACTGGTTCCTTTAAATAGTAAGAACTTAAAACTAAACTTAATATTTTAGTTGTGCTTCTGCTGTTATTTTCATTTTAAAAGCTTATGATTCCTAACTAAAAATGTCTTGAAAAGGTATTATCACACGTGTAGCTATTTCCAGTTTTAGTGATTGTCCATTTGTCCCTCGTCATGTAAATATTTATGGAATGAACATTTTGTGTACATACAGGTTATTGCCTTTTTATTTATTTTAGTACTTAGCTCCATGAGATACTTCTTTTAAGGCGATGGAATAAATGTTATATGACACAATTACATTTTCTGTCAGGTGTTAAGTATGTGGAGTTTAAACAATGAAGTTTTTTCAAAAGAAAAAAAAAACAAAAACCATTTAAGTTTCTGTAAACTCTTACAGCGTTATCAGCTTAGAAGGAATTAATATTTTTAATATTGCCATTATATTCCCAAATATGTACTGAGATAAATGAACTGGTGTAGAGTATCAGTTTGCTATTTAGTTTAATGAATTGCTAAGCCATATGTAGAAATGAAATGCTTTACTGATAGATTTTAAAGAAAATATGAGGAAATGGCTATAATTATTGAATTAAGAGGGTCTTCAATAATAAATTGTAGTTATGCATTTGCAGTTCTAATAATCAAAAGGACCCAAATGTTCATTTATATGTCTTTGAAGGCTGCTAACATTTATGAAGAAGACCCCTAATTTTCTGCCCATAGAAATTTGCATTTTCTTAGTGATCATTTAAACAAAATCCAAAGGTAAATAGATTCTTCTACAAACAATAAGAAAAATTACTACTAAAATACAGCTTTGTGCCTTTTAACCCTACTGCCAACTCCTAAATGTATACATAGATTCCTGTTAACTTATTGATCAGAGCATGATCTATTTGGCCATGTGCAACAGTGAGCAGAAATATAGCAGCAGGTAGAATAGTGAATTGTTTAGCAAGTCATCCTTTAAAAATTCTAAGCTACAATCTACTCACTGTTGAGTAATTAAATTAATCCTATAGGAATAAGCTCCTTATAATTAGATCCATAATATAAATTAGAAAAACAGCAGTTGGAAATTGAAGTTTTTGGTGCCTATATATTGCCTGTTTGATTTCTAGTCTTCTATGCTAGTCATATTTTGATGATTTTGCTTCACACTCAGTAGAACATGAACATATTTTGGTAGTTTTTCTGTGAGGAAGGTAGAGTGGTTTTGTTACTTTTGTTAAAGGATTTTTTTTTTTCTGGTTATAGTTAATTTATGACATCTGTTAAATAAAATTGATACTCTTAAAAAAATTTTCTCTTGTATCCCCTTCCTAAGTAAATCAGTAAAAAAGCCTGATTAAATTTGAGGTTAAAGTAAACATATTCTCATTGGAAACCTGGACAACTTAACAAATTTCTTTTAGAAATGTGAAAAGTAATGCTTAAAGTAAAATTTTAAATATTTTCTTGAGCCTGTAGAATAAGTTTTTTAAAATGTCATAGCATTCTAATTAACTATGAAAGTTCATATATATAAAAAATTTATAAAAATTTGAAAAAGATTCATGTTTATTTTTACAGTTTTAATGAGAAATTTACACTGTTATGGTTAATTTTTATGTGAACCAAATCTTCCCATTCTCCGATGCCTTTTCCCCTTAAATCCCCACTTTAAGGGGATAGGTGAAATTATCAAATTAAGTGAAGTTATATGTTAGAAAGCTGCACATGGCTTTTGGACTGTAAGTATTGTATTTCAGGTCTATTACTGCATTCCATTACATTTCATAACTTGTTAGGGAGAATGTGTTTGATAAAATAAAATTTTCAAACAACTAAGAAATGATTGATTTGAGTGACTGACAATTTGAGTCACATATAAAATATGCAAGTAAGGTTGAGTTCTTAATGTCCCCTATAATGGGCTGTAAAGGCAATGAGTATCTTGTAACTTTAGGTTAATTGTACACAGTGAGAAGACTTTAAATATCTTAGATGTAAGATTTTCCTGTTTGTTACTCTTTTTTGGGGGGAGTGGTGCTGGGGATCGAACTCAGGACCTTGCGCTTGCCAGGAAGGTGTGGTGCCACTGAGCTACATCCCCGGCCCTGTTACTCTTTTATGATTAAAAATCCCAAAATTTTGCCATCTTATTTTTTAGCTACATGAGCTTTACAATTTCACTTGATCATTTAGTTCCTACCTAAAAGGCTTTGACTTTAACTAGCTTCTCTTAACTGGCATTTTGAAAATTTGACAGTAGTTATATTTATTCATGCTTTACATTTTTAATCCCTTTTTATGTGCCCACACACACAGTTGTTCTCGTGAAGGTTTGGAGGAAAGGCAATAGTACCTTTTTTCCTTTTCTTTTGATTTCTTAGTTTCCAAATGACTGACACTAATCATTTAGTCATCTGTAAGCTGTGGAACTTATTCTCGACAATGAGAAATTTTAAGTTATCTGTTCCATAATTAAGTGAAAGTAACCTGTTTTGGAAAAAGATAGCCTTTTGATTCTTGTTTCATAATCATTACATGCATATTTATGGTTTACAAAGACTCGGTAGAGAAAGGTCAAGTCCGGAAAGCATCTCCATGCCAGTGCTTTACAGTACTGTGCTGTGTATCAGCTCAGGTGTCCACGGAACAGGAATGTAGAAAGCTAGCCCTTAACTTTAATCGCACTTTTATGCTTCATTTTTCTTCCTATCAAATCTTTTGCACTACATATAAAATAAAATTATTACTTGATTTCCCTTCTTTTGGATCTGTAATATTTTCAAAAGCAGCTAGTTAGCACCTGTATGCTAATATTACTTAATGTATTTCTGCATATTTCATTTTTTAAAAAATCTTCTGCCTTGTTGAGACAGTGGAATATTTCTTGATGGATGTAAGGACCAAAGGAGCCATTTTTCCAGTTAAGCAAGTATTATGGCAAAGGACCAAATGATTAAAAGGGTGCATTTATTTAGCTTCTCCGTGTGAAGTATCGCCTTGGTGGGTTCAGTACTGCCTGTATTACCATTCATCTTCATACTGGGCGAAGCAAACTAGAAGAGAACGCATCACATTTTCCCCTTATCCGAAGAGAAAAAAATGATAAAATGAATGATCATCTGAATTTTAATTTTCAGTAAGTAGCTGAAAAATCTTGTCTGTTGGACATATGAGGCTACTGCCTAGTTAAAATACCTAACATTCCGTGAATGCCAGTAAAAAAGAAGTAGTCTGGCAATAATTTCAAAATTTTCCTAAGTTCTGATTTTCAATTACAAAGAAAAAGTGGGTAGAATGTGGCTGTTCAAGGAATTCTTACACTCCCCCTTCAATCTGGCAGGCAATAAACAGAGTTCTAGAATTCAGGCTTCCTTTTTGGTTTCATTACTATTAAATACTATTAAATACTTTCATATGAATGGTAACATTTTTCCTCAAAATATTAATTCAAAACATACTCCTTATATTAAGGATTATGTAATGAAATTTTTGTAAATTTCCTGTGTGTAACATTTTCCTGTTGGTATGTGATCCTTTTCATCTAATTTGATTATCTGCTGGTGTTGGGGCCAATAGATTTGTGAATATTCTGTGGATGTGTACATGTGTAAGTGTATATATGCATTTTTTTTCCAGCTAATACCTCAGATACGTGATTGTTTAATATATACCACAGTATGTTTGCACAGAACAGGGCTTCCATTAGTAATGGGTATCCTTATTTCCAAATTTGAAAATCAGTCCACAGAATTTCATTAGTGTGAATTCTCTCTGTTGATTTTAATAGAGATTTCTTTTTTAAGGCCCACACTTCAAAAATAACTTTATCTTTCTAGCAATCTGGAACTACATTAGGGTAAGAAGTGTTTCTTGGAATGTCTTAGTTCATGAGTGTCTGAGAATGACCAGCTGTGGAGATATTGAGTCACTGAGGAACAGATGATTCCTGGCAGGAGGTGGGCAGTTTTTATCCACGTGTCTGTGAGATTCTGCCCATTCTAGTCAGCCTGCCACTCATGAGCACTGTGCAAACAGTGACACTGAGGTATTCCAGCCATTACTTTTGGAGAATTGTTTCTGAGTTGAATGACTATAAGGATTAGAAGAAAAAAATATTTTGTAATTCATTTGCATTAAGAAATGCTTCTTACCTTTTTCTGTCTTTTTGGTTTTTAAATTGCTTCGTAAGACTTTCTGTCCATTTAAAGGTTAGTTTTAGTTTATGTGTTTTTAAAAGCTACAGGAAATTTTCACGGCGTGATGGAATTTTAATGGAAGCCTTATATAAGCTAAATGAAGTGAAATGTAAAGGAGATCTTACTTTGTCTATAGTGCATTCAAGATTATATAATTAGGTTTAAAAATGCAATGTCTGATTTGTAAACTAATGTTATATCAGACTTCTATAAAATAAAATTTCCTGTGTGAGAACATTTTTAATGAATGTTCTACTGAATGATTTATGATGAATTTTTGTCTTTAAGTCTCTGTACTTTATCTCAATATATTAATAAAAACATTTGTTCTCACCATAAAAGGTTTATTGTATTGTAGCCTCGTGATATTTTTATTCTTTTATTCAGCCATTCAACAAATGTGTAAATGCGTGTCATATTCCAATTAATGAGCTTGTGCTGAGAATCACTGAACAAGACAAAAACTCTTAGGAATTTTACATCTAGCAAAGAAAGTAAATGTCAAGTAAATAACTAGTTACAGTTTTGATAATTGAGACAAAATTAAGAGCACATTGAGAGTATATATCTAACATATCTAAACTATTCTGTGAGGGTCCGGAAAGGTTTCTCTGAGAAATTGAGCTTAAGCTAAAACCCAAAAGATAAGCAGGAGTAAGGTGAACCCCACGGAAATATTTCAGAGTGGCCAAGGTGGTTGTCATAAAAACTATGGAAGTGAAAACAAACATCCTAACAAGGACTCCCGGGTAGGTGAGAGGATAAAAATGGGAGCCAGGTCTTTATAACATAGTATATATCCATGGTGATAATACTGAACTTTATCTTGTCGGTGGTCAAAAACCAACCGGTTGTGGTGATGAATGCCAGTAATCTGTTTTGGGGACACTGAGGCAGGACAATCGGAGTTCAAGGCCAGCCTAGGACCTAGGGTGAGTTCAAGGCCTGCCTGGATTATATAGCAAGACCTTATATCAAAGTAAGAGATTTTTAAGGGTAGAGTTACATGATGAGATTTAGGTTTTTAGAACATCATTTATGTTGCTGTTTGAAGAGCTGAGGGCAGAAGTGAATGTTTAGAAAGATAGGTATTGTCAAAGGAGATGATCATGGCATGGACCAGGACAGGAATACATATAAGTGAATGATTTTCAGAGACATTTAGAATGCAGACTCAAGATCTCTTTGGATTGGATTTTGGATATGTGGTGGCAGCAATTAAAAACAAGACTAAAGATTTCAAAAAAAAAAAAAAGTGGCTATGAAAAGAGTAAAGAAAGAGCCGGAGCTGAAAGAGAATGTGGTTTCTACAGAAGGCTTTTTTTCAGTTATTATTACATGAGAGATCTTGTTTTTTTTATATCAATGGAAGCCAAACTGAAAGATAAAAACAGGGATAATAAAATTGAGCCCCTGATGTATCCAGAGGATATACAGACCCCTTTGCAAACACATAAAAATTACTTGAGACACCTCCAACATTCTTTGAAAAGGAATGCAGAGGATAGGCTCAAATGCAGGTAGATTTATAGTTAAGTGAGGTGCAATTTTCTGGCCTCCAGTCTATTAACATAAGCTGTTTATATAAAGTGAGGGAGCAGGGAAAGAATAAAGAGCAAACAAAATTAGAATGAAGATAATTTGAAGGAATCATTTTTACAATCAGCTGGCTAGCAAAAAGGATTTCTATGGCTCCCTGGTTGGTAACAGATCTATAATGTTTAGTTATGTGAATTTTTTGCAGCCTAACCCAGCAGTTGGGCTTGAGCATGGGGAAAGTTAAAAATCATGTTGGTGGAAGGTTGAGGTCCTCAATTGGGTAATGGTAGAGAATCCATATTAGAATGCATTCACAAGCTAAATTGAATGATATATTAGGCCCACATTAAAGACTGTCAGCCTTATCATTGTCTGCATTGGTACAGTTTCGAAAGGTTTTTTGAGCAAGTAGTAATAAGCATTGTTTTGGCAAGTACTGTCTGCTGTTTCTAAGTTGCGCTGTAGTCTACCCAAAGGTCCATGTCGTAAAGGTGTGGTCCCCAACACAGTCCTTTTGGTGGGTGGTGGAAACTTTAAAGAGGTGGGCACAATGGGCTGTCTTCACATCAAGAGATATGCACTCAAAGGGGATTGTGGGACCTCGGAATCTTCCTCTTGCTTCCTGGCCATACGGCAGGAGTTTTCCTTCACCACATGCCCAAAGTAATGGGACCAATTCATCAGGGAATGAAACTTATAAAAGTAAACCCAAATAAACATTTGTTATAAGTTGATTATTTCATATTTATTCTAGTGAAAACTAGAAGGGCTACTGATTGGGGCTTGCTGAACAGAAACAGGTTTCAATCAATAATTCAAAAAACATAAATGCAAAAATCATTGTTAGGAAAGAGGATGCAAGGAAGTAAAAAGCAAGTATGATTCAGGAAGGGAAGAACTATGGTACAAATAGAGACGTTAGGGGAGTGGTTTAAGGTTTATTGGAGGTGTTTATCACTTTTTAATTAGAGCTGACAGGAAGAAATTATGAAAATGATACCCAACCTCCAATGAGATTAAAATGGTAAACAACACCCACGAAAAGTACACATTTACACATTCTCAGGGCACTGTAGGAAAAGTGCAAACAGGCAGGAAATGCCATTATCTGAAGAGTTAGGAGATGAAAGTGAATGGGGACCTGAGATAAGTAAATGCAGAGCCCTAGAGGCTAGAAACAAGGGATTACAGATCCCCTCATACCGCTAGTGGTACATGCATGACTGTCCCATCCAGCTGCTTGTTATCTCTGGCACAAGTAGTACTGTAATGTATGACATAGTCATGCATGTATCACTGATGGTTCAAGCTGCACAGTAGCAAGACATATGAATTACTGTCCCATCGTGAACGTATTAAAGGAAAAAGCAGTAAACTGAAATTTATAATTTCATCCTCTTAAAAGACAGCCACACTGGGTCAGGGATTTAGTTCAGTGGTTCCACTGCCTGCCTCGAAAAAGCAAGGTCCTGAGTTCGATCCCCAGTAGCAAAAATAAATAAATAAAAATAAAAAACAAAAAACAACCAAGATAGCCCCCCCACACACACACCACCCAGATTTTTCAAATCTTTTGGACTAGAATTAGTTCCTTCTGTACTCTTTAGGGGTTGGAAACTAAGGTCAGAGTAAAAAAGTGTCCACAGATCTCATTTTTCTAGAGATGTTGCTGTATCAAATAAAAAAGGAGGAAAACTGCAACAAAAACTATGAACTTCAATTTTCTTAGGAGGGGCTAAGGCTATCTTCAACCGGGTAGGATTTTATCCACCAGAGGTTTTTCGACTGTTCCTGCAATCTAGGGCGCAAAGGCCCAACGCTGCAGGACACCCTGGGATGCACAGCACAGCTCCGTGACAAGAAAAAAAAAAAAAAAAAAAAAACACGGCCCTGTGCAAGAGAGGACTCCCTTCGGCGGAACCCTGTAGTCTTCCTGCTCTCTATGGCAGCAGGCGATCCTTGAATGGACAACAAGGTACCAACCAAAACCAGTACTGGCAACCCTCACATCGCACGTCGAGCCACACGAAAAAAGGCGCGGACGCCCACATGTCCAAGCAGCAGCTCACAGTGCCCACAGCTCCTGCGCTGCGCGGCTGCATCCAGAGACCAGAAACGGTCGGAAACTCAAGGCTGGGAGTTCGGATTACAGGTATTCCGGTTCGTGCTGTTCCATCAAACACCAGCCCCTCAAATGTCTTCATCAGCGAGGAAAGGTTTTAAAATAACAAAGAAACGAATGAAGTATACGCATCCGCTCGGCACGAGGCGGCCTGAGAGCAACCCTGGCGGGTAAGTCAAGGGACACTGTACAAGCGCAGCACGCCTGGTACGCAGAGGCAGGATGCTGCTGTGAAGGGGCAAAGTGGGGCGGGACGCGCAGGCGCAGTAGGCGGTGTCCGCTCCCTGTTTCCGCCGGGCTCCCCCCCGGAAGTCCCTCTCAGCCGCTGTCTGCTGCTTATCAAGTGCTTCCGGAAGCTCAGACGGGGTCGCGAGTCATGTGACGGCGGCTGGCCGAGGAAGCTGTTTGAAGCTGCTGCTGAAGGACTGTGAAAGACACTCGGATAGCCGAGAAGAGCAGGTAGCAGGGCTGCCCCGCCTGGTGTCCAGGCGAGGGTGATAGGGTGGCGAGTCTGAGGGAGAGATCGTCCGTTCCCAGCGGCTCTCAACTTACGGTGGCTGGGCGGGGCGCGGGCGGGCAGGGGCGCGCCCGCTTGCGCTCAGGGCAGCTCTGTCTTGCAGGAGCGGAGGTCGGAACAGCGCGGCATGGCGGACGTGAGTTATCCCGCACTCTGCGGGCGGGCCGCCGACAGAGGGGTTCCCCCTGGGTTGTGAAGGGGTGGCCGCAAGGGAGTCCAGGTCCAGATGTGGGCCGAGGGCTTCAGCATATGGTTCTGATTGGTGGCAGGGAGCGAACGTTCGGCGGGTGTTAGACCCCGCCAGGTACAGAGAGGGTCCTGGGCCCCTGCGCCGCTGGCGACATCTCCAGAGGACTGGAGTTTAGGGAAGTGAGGACGGGGACTAGGCGGGAGGCCGTGGGCTCTGTGGCGCGCACCGCAGCCGGAAGAGGATTGGATCTGATAGCTGAGAAGCGTTTTTGTGTCCCATTTCCAAGCACAGTAATGGACACTGTATAGGTCTGTTTTTATCTCTACTTGATAGTGCAGTGAGAACTTAGAGAAAAAGGTTACCTCCCTCCTGTGGTAGGACCAGCGTCAAAATCAGAAATGCAGAGGTAAAACCCCAGCAAGAAAAGTTATGTGTGAGGACTTCAGGTCCCTGAAAGGTGGGAAGGACAGGTCTAGAAAAGCAGTGGACTGCGTATTATGATTTTTCAATATTATCTTTCAGGACCTAAAGCGATTCCTGTATAAGAAGTTACCAAGGTAAAAATTTACTGCTGTGGAATCAATTCTGCATGCCATGTTAACTTGATGAGATGTTTTGCTCCCTTTTATGACTAATATTTGGTGTATATTATGCTAATTTATTATCACTTTAAGTACCTAACATATCCCTCAGTGTCACAAGCAATGAATGCCCTCTGAATTTGCAGATAACATGAGGCCTAGAGAAGTCTGTGACTAATGTTCAGTAGGTTGGGGAGTAGCAGAACTCAAATTTCTTGCCACTTTTGAGTTCTTGCAAATAAACTGTCATATCCTTTTAGTGGATTATACTTTGAAGTTTTTATGGTCCCTTTAAGGAGAAAAATCGTAAGAACTCGCTTTTACTTTTACTTTGTTATTAAGACCAAATTGCTGAGTTTGCATAACCCAAAAATATATCTTCAGACAGTAGTTCATACATGAAAAGTCACAAGGCTTGCTTTTGGCTACACATTGTCAATTTGGAGTACCATTTTATAAATTAGGCTCTTGTATTAATGTCAACAAACTTCCTTTTAGATATTTAGATTACTGGAATCATAACTCACATTTAATTTAATGTAAAATGAGGCCTTCATAAGTGCTGCTTTCCTCTGCACTCATAACTATGTACCAGAATTCCTGAGAGTTTAGGGCATGAGAGAGGAATATGACTGGACCCATTCATGATCACATTCTAGAATAAAGAGATTTAAGTGAATAATCTTTGAGGTAATATAGCAGAATATGTGGTGAGATCCTTTTTTCTTATCTACCAAATCTGAAGTTCTAAAAGGTTTTGGATGTCAGCTTTTGTATTTAGGAAACAAAACTTGTTTGGATTTTATCTTGAATTATTTGGAATGAGTCATTCGTTGGCTCTTGCCTTTATCTAATTACAGATTACTGAAAGTTGATACTATTTTCTGGTTTTGAATCTATTATATTTTTCTTTTGTATTCAGGTGTTAAATAATTTTTGCCATATATTTCATGTTAATGAACTGCTTAAATTCATCTGTAGTCTTCTGCTATTGGCAAACTAGAGACAAGTTGCTGATACTGTTCCTAACCTAATGATTAGTGATACAGGGAATCCTAGGATTTCACGAGAATACAGGACCATAGCAGTAGCTGGAACTGTGGAAAGACATTTTAAAAACAAGTGGCAAAATTAACAATTGTTTTGTGACTTTTCAGTTTCTTTCAAAACATTAAAACTTTCATTATTGGTTACAAATAGAGAAACAATGCCAAGTGTTAAAATGAGTTTGCTTAGTACACTAATTTAAAACATCAGTAATATTGGGAATTATTTCACTTTGCAAAAAAACAAAACGAAACAGTTTTAACAGTGTTTAACTGCTTCCTCCATATACCTTAGTATAAGGAGCAGATCTTTTTTATACGCCTTGCTGAATTGTCATATTCCATTCTGATTTAGGATTAGCTTCCCACATTTTAATCCTTCAGATTTTTCCAGTGCTGGGAAGTATCTGAGTTTTTCATTGATTTGAGGTTTTTGTCAGCATCAGTTTCTCTGGGACATTTTCATTACAGCCACTTTGCTCATTTATGACAGGAAAGTCACTGTCATCTGAGTCCTCTGGCTGCAAAACTAGAGTCCCCCTAAAAGCAATAACAGCCATATTCCCATGGTCAACCATTTCTTTATTTACTTTCTGTTTGAATTTCACTTCTAGCATTATCACTTTTCATTTCTTTCCTGTATTTTACCTTTGTTGGCCAGTTCCCTCAATTATATATACTTTTCTAATGTCATACAGTATATGCTTTGCTATCTCTTCATGAACTAAGTAACAGATGGACAGTGACCAGGTTCTAATGTACGCTGAAGGAAGTGATGTGGCTGGTTACTGATTACATTGTGCACCTGCTAATTATGTACTTACTTGTGTGGTATTTGTGGGTTGAGAAGTTAAAAGTTTTTGCTTTATGCAGTTATTTTGGTAAATATGGATTGGGAATTAAAATTTGACCTGAGCTATTGAAGGGTGTGGTACTAACATAATAACTAAAATGCATATAGTGAATCTGCAAAATTAGAGCTTTCTGTATCTGTAGTTATGTCGTTGGAAGATTAGAGAATTAAACTGGGTGGAGGGACACCCACTGCACTGGTGACACAGTACAGGAAAACCAGCATAGTTTATTGACCTCACAGTTTGTAGAGGTTTCATTTCATAGTTGGCTGGCTCCAAGGAAGGGTGGTATGGTAGAGGGGCATGGTAGAGGGGCATCGCAGAGGAGAAATGGTCCATAGCAAAGCAGGGCAGGCAAAAGGCAGCAAGCGACAAGCAGCGACCCTCTTTCTTTTATTTTTAATGGCTTCTTTTTATTTTTATTGGTACATTTTAGGTATACATAGTGATAACATTCATCATAAGGAGTTTGTACCTGTACATGATATATCTTGCTTCGTTTTTTTTCCCATTCCCCTCACTTCTCTTCAACCCCTTTTCCTCTCCTTATATACAAAACCTTTGTTTCCATTTTTTCTTCTATTCTTTTTCTTCTTGTCCCTTCCTTCCTTTCCCCCTCCCCTCTCCCTTTTTCCCCTTCTCATTCACACATTTTCTTCCCATTTCCCAATAAGTATTACATATTTTGGTCCTTGTTTCCATTTTCAGTTTCACAACAGAGAATCAATGCAATTTTTAAGCATATGTGTCCCATTTATTTCACCTAAGAGTATGGTCTCAGGGTGCATCCATTTAGCTAGAAATGTCTTGAGCTTATCCTTCTCTATGGCAGAATAGTACTGCATTGTATAAAAAGAAACAAACAAATCTTCTGGGCCTGAGATTTAGCTCAGTGGTTCCGCTGCCTACCTCGCAAGCGCAAGGTCCTGAGTTCGATCCCTGGTATCCCCCCCCCCCGCCAAAAAAAAATCTTCATTCATTCTTTGGTTGATGAGCATGTGGACTGTTTCCAAGATTTAGCTATTATAAACTGCCACTGTAAATGTAAGTGTGTATATACTGAGGGCTGATTAGACCCTCAGCTGCCTTTTGGGGGGAACAATGAGGAATAAAAAGAAACATAATCTTCAAGATAAAAAGTAGGGGACCTCTAGCAGACAGACTCAAATAAAACTCTGCAATTGGCCCACTTTTATTAGCCAATGAGAAGGGCAGGGGGAGGGGTAGCACACATCTCCTAGCAACTGTAATAGCAACTATAGAGAATGGATCGATAAGGACTAAGTTGATGAGGAACCACATTTTCTCTACACCCAAATGCCTGTGTATTGACAACTGTCCTCAGCAGATGCTGTCTTGCCTCAAGTGTGCTCAGTTATCAGTTATTGTTATCAACATTCCACCTATAGCCAGGGGGCATGTTGCCTTCCACATATTTCCCTTTTCCTGAGGCAAAATAATACCAACCTGGGGACTATGAGATCTGAGTTCTGTAGCCTAGTCCCCAACATGCATATATCACTGTGGTATGATGACTTTAATGCTTTTTGATTTTGTTTTTGTTTTTTTCTGGTACCAGGGATTGAACTCAGGACCTTGCACTTGCCAGGCAGGCACTGGCACCACTGAGCTAAATCCCCGGCCAATGACTTTAATTCTTTTGAGAAGATACTGAGAAGGGGAATAGCTGGGTCGAATGGAACCTCTAATCATAGTTTTTTGAGGAATCTCCACACTGATTTCCATAGTGGTTGTACCAGTCTATACTCCCACCAACAATGGGGAAGGGTTCTTTTTTCCCCACAGCCCTGCCAACATCTGTTAATTGGTTGATTGTTGATAATAACCATTCTTTCTGGAGTGTGATAAAATCTCAGTGTTGTTTTAATTTGCATCTCTCAATTGACCAGTGATGTTGAACGTTTTTTCATATATTTAATTGCCACTTGTGCTTCATCTGAGAAGTGTCTGTTCATTTCAGATGCCCATTTTTGGACTGGGTCTTTAAATTTTAGAGGTCTGATTTTTTTTTAACTTCTTATATATTTCATGTAGTAGTCCTTTGAGGAACAGCTGGCAAAAAACTTTTCCCACACTGGGTTGTCTCTTCACTCTACTGGTGGTTTCTTTTCCTGTGCAAAAGCTTTTTAGTAAGGTGAGGTCCCAGTTGTTGATTCTTTGTGATATTTCCTGTTTGATAAGGGTTTTGTTCATAAAGTCTTTGCCTACACCTATGTCTTCAAGAGTTGTGCCTGTTCTTTCAACAGATTTAGTGTTTCTGTTTTAATATTTAGATTTTGATCCATTTTGATTTTAGTTTAGTGCATGGTGAAAGGTATGGGTCTAATTTTAATCTTTGGCATGTAGAAAGCCATTTTTTCGAGCACCATTTATTAAAGGAGACGATCCTTCTTCCAGTAAAAGTGATTGGGCCCTTTGTCAAAGATAAAGTGACTGAGTGTGTTGGAAGTTGTTTCTACATCTTCTAATCTGTTTCATTAATCCTCACTTACGTTTTTTTGCCAGTACTATGCTGTTTTTATTACAGTAGCTGAGTAATATAATCTCAAATTAAGGATTGTAAATGGCTCCTGCCTTGCCTTTGTTGTCCAGAATTGCTTGTGCTATTCTAGGTCTCTTGTGGTTCCAAATGAATTTTAGGATTGTTTTTTCTAATTTGGTGAGATGTGCTATTGGAATTTTGATCAGGATTGCATTAAATCTGTATAACAATTTTGGAAGTATGGCCATTGTCGCTATATTGGTTTTTCTTACCCAAGAACAAGGGATATCTTTCCATTTTCTGATATCCTTTTCTTCTATCTCCTTTTTCAGGGTACTGTAGTTTTCAATGTAAAAATCTTTTACGTCTTACATTAGATCAATTCCTAGGTATTTCATTCTTTTGTGTGCTATTGTGAAAGGTATTTCCCTAATTTCTCTCAGTGAGTTTGTTATTTGTTAGGAATGGTATTGATTTTGAATGTTGACTTTGTATCCAGCTACACTACTGAATTCGGTAATTAAATCTAAGAGTTTTTTGCCTGAGTTTTTAAGGTCTTCTATGAGGAATACCATGTCATCTGCAAATAATAATAGTTTAACCCCTTCCTTTCCTATCTATTCCTTTTATTTCTTTCTCTTGTCTAATTGCTCTGGCTGATGTTTCCAAAACTATATTGAATACGAGTGGTGATAGTGAACATTCTTGCCTTGTTCCTGATTTTAGAGTGAAAACTTTCAGTTTTTGACAATTTAGTATGATGTTGGCCATTGCTTTGTCATAGGGGAGATAAAGACCATTTATTCCAATTTTCTGTAGAGTTTTTATCATGAATGGGTATTGGGCTTTTCCAAATGCTTTTTCTGCATCTATTGAGATGATCATACAGTTTTTTTCCTTGGCTCTATTAATATGGTGTATTACATTCATTGATTTGCATGTATTGAACCATCCCTGCATCCCTGGGACGAATCCTACTTGGTTATGGTGTATAATCTTCTTAATTATTTGCTCTGTTCTGTTTGCCAGTATCTAATTGAGGATTTTTGTGTCTATGTTCATTAGGGAGATTGGCCTGTAGTTCCTTTTATTGACTGGATCCTTCTCTGGTTTTGGTATTAGGGTAACGCTTGCTTCCAGGAATAAATTTGGAAGTATTGCTCCTCTTTCAATCTCATTAAAGAGTTTGAAAGGTAGTGGCATTAAGTCTTCTCTAAACTTCTTGTAGAATTCAGGAGTGAATCCATCAGGGCCTGGGCTTTTCTTCCTTGGTAAGTTTTTAATTACATCTTTAATTTCATTGACTGATACTGCTTTATTTAGAATTTTTATATTTTAGGGCCAGGAATGTAGCTCTCAGTGGCGCTGCACCTACCTGGCAAGTGCAAGGTCCTGAGTTTGAGCCCTCGTACCAGAAAAATAAAGAATTTTTACATCTTACATATCTAGGATTCTGTTTACTTCTTCTGTGTTTTCTATCTTATTAAAATAATGGATTCTCAAAAAAAACAAAAATATAAATTCTCAAAGTAGGTGTTGATGATCTTCTGGATTTCTGTAGGATCTGTTGTGATTTCACCCTTTTCATTCCTGGTTGATGGATTTGAGTCTTTTCTTTCCTTATTTAGATAAGGTTGGCTTAAGGGTTTGTCTGCTTTATTTAATCTTTCAAAGAACCAATTCTTTGATTCATTCATTCTTTCTTTTGTTTTCTTAGTCTCTATTGCATTAACTTCTGCCATGGTCTTTATAATTTTCTCCTTTGTAGAGCTTTGGGCTTGACTTACTGTTTTTCTAGAAGCTTGAAGTTCAACATTAGGTTGTTTATTTGAGTTTGATCTGTTTTTCAGATAGGAGAATTCACCACTGGAAATCTCCCTCGTAGGACTGCTTTTATTGTATCCCATAAGTTCCAGTATGGTGTATTGGCATTATCATTTAATTGTAGAAAATGTGGAAACAAAGGGCAAATACTAGTGGTAGTGCTCATCTAAGAGATATATTCAGTTTAAAGTATGTGGAAAAGCACAACAGAAATCTTTTTATAATGGCAGGAAAGGGATTAGTACCATCTGCTTTTTTCATGACTGTGTCAAATTTGACTCATTCATGATCTTTTCTTCAAACCAGGCTTACTGCACTCCAACAATGAAAAGAATGAAGAAATAATATTGTGAACACTTGAATTTTTTGCTAGATTTATAGGTGGATGAGGCATCCCAGCCTCTCAAAAACCAAGCCAGCCAAAGACAGACATAGTTGAATGTGTGGTTTTAATTTTCTGTTAAGAGTCATTCTTGGGTTTGCATTTTAAAATCCAGCTGTGAATCAAAGAGTCCTCAGCCTTTAATGATCACAGCTTTTATGTTTTGTTTTCTGGAGTCTGTTTTTTGAGACAGTCTCACTGGCCTTTAACTATGTTGCCCAGGATGGCCTTAAACTTGCCACAATTCTCCTGCCTCAGACTCTTGAGGGTAGAGATTACAGGCCTCCATGCCCGGCTTTATGTTTTTAAATAATTAAATATTTAATAGTTTATGAAAAAGTTTAAGTATGGTGTCTTTGGGGAGGGTTGCTGCATCCTGGGGTTGAACCCAGGCCCTGCGGTGCTGAGTATGTCCTCTGTAGATGCTCCACCACCTCACTGCACCCCAGCCCCAGGATAAGGATGTCTTTGATTACTCATGCCCCATTTGTTTTTTAGAGTAAAAAATGGTTATTTTAGTTAGCCTTAGATTTTTGCAAAATATTTAATAAAATTCAACTTATTCTTTATAAAAATACGGTATGCTAATTGTTTTTTATTTTTTAGTAAAATATTTTCATATTACTCTTTGTCCACTATGAATAGAATTGAAAACAACTTTTTTTTAAATTCATTAAGTTTATTGGTACATTTTAGGTATACAGTATGATGACATTCGTCATTGGGAATTTGTACCTTTATATGATATATCTTGGTTCTTATTTTTTTCCTCATTCCCTTGCCCTCCCTTCAACCCCTCCATGCCTCCCTGTTTACAAAGACTTTGTTTCCGTTTTCTTTTTTCATATTTATTCCTTGCCCTTCTTTCCTTTCCCTTCTTCCACTTCCCCTTCCCCTTTGGACCTTTTCTTCCTATTTCACATTATCTGTTATACATTTTGATCCTCGTTTATATTTTCAGTTTCTCACACCAGAGAAACTATTTGGTATTTACACACGGGTGTCCTATTTATTTCACTTAAGAGTATGACCTCAGTGTGCATCCTTGTAGCTATAAATGTCTCTAGTTTCTCATTCTTTATGGCTGAGTAGTACTCCATTGTATATAAAAAAAAATTTTATCCAGTCACCAGTTGATGGGCAATTGGGTTGTTTCCAAGTTTTAGCTATTACTGTGCTGCTATAAACATGGTTGTGCATGTATCTGTGGTATGATTCTTTTAAGACTTTTGGGAAGATACCCAGCAGGGGAATAGCTGGGTCAAATGGAACCTCTAATCCTAGTTTTTTGAGGAATCTTCATACTGATTTTCAGAGTGATTGCACCAGTCTGCACTCCCACCAACAGTGGAGAAGGGTTCCTTTCTCCCCCCAACCCCGCCAGCATTTGTTCTTGGTTGATTTCTTGATAGCAGCCATTCTTTCTGGAGTGAGGTGGAATCTCAGGGTTATTTTCATTTGCGTCTCTCAAATGACCAGTGTTATCCCCAGAGAGGGTTTATATGTCCAGAGCAAACAAGAGTGTTGTGTTTTTGGGGGGTTTTTTGGTACCGGGGATCGAACTCTGGTCCTTGCATTTTTGAGACAGGTGGTGTAACCCCTGAGCCAAATCCCCAGCCCAAACAAGAGTGTGTTTACACATGCACAGACACAGTTACATGTTTTGTTACATCACCTCTGGCTTTTGCATATTCTTGTGAAAATTGCTTATTTTTTCCCTTGAGAAAACAACTTTCAAGTAGTTCCTCTCAGTTCATGAAGACCTTCCTCTTTTTTGTCTTCAGAGTGTTCTGTTCGTAACTTCCTTCACTTATCCTTTGTGGAGAGTGGGAGCTGTAATCTCTTCCTATTTCAAGTGGTGTTGATAACTGCAAAAAGTGACTTAATTGTGTACAGTAATCTGTAAGACGGGCTTTTTTGTTTGGTTTTGTTTCTCTTGTACCGGGAATCAAACTCAGGACCTTGCACTTGCCAGGCATTTGCAGCACCACTGAGCTAAATTCCTGGCCGTGTAAGACATGTTTTTATATAACCAAGTTTTTGATGTATAAGAATATATATAGTAATCTTTTGTTAATCTTCTAGAATACATTTTAATCCTATGTAATTTCAGGATTGAATGATAATGGGAAAAATACCAATAGCAGTATAAAATAGTAGGAAGTTTTATACACAGTTGTTTCATCATTCCTTTTCATAAAGTGAGGAATCCCTTCTGTATCAGTCATCAGTGCCCTATATGCCACCAATGTGGGCTTTCCTGTCCCTGGGGATCCCCTGGTAACAGGTAATAGCTGTTGTTAGTATGACATTTTATCTGGAGCCTCTTGGCTTAGTTGTGAGCTTCCAGAAGTCAGTATCTGCTTGTTTTTGCCTGTGATATTTCATGAAGTATTCAGTGCCAGGTTAAGGCACTCAGTACTGGAAGGAATGAGAGAAGGGGAAAAGATTCTCTTTTTGTCACTGGAACCCCTGCTTATAACTTACTGCTTTTGCAAATCATGAGATGACAGTGCATTAGCAATTTTAGTGAAAAATAAGCTATTTTAGATATTTATCAAAAGTTGCATGCATGCATTTGTAAAAATTGTAATGATGACAGTAATCCACATTGAATTTCTGGAGAGTTTTGGAAAAAATAACGGGAGACAGCGTATCACTAGTTGAGGTCTGTGGTTTTTCAGAAATACTTACAAGAATTACTATTATGGTTTCCAGGTATATATTTTGAGAAACTGAACTGTTTATAATATTTTAACTTTTTTTCTTTCTAGTGTTGAAGGACTCCATGCTATTGTTGTATCAGATAGAGATGGAGTACCTGTTATTAAAGGTAAATCTTAATACTTAAATGCAAATGTCATGTTGCTTTTGACTAAAAGTATATGTGTTTCCTTAACATCTGAGTAGTGCAGAAGACAAATAACTTAAAACTTATTTCAGCAGATTCAGAAGAGGTCCTCATCTGTATTAGCTGAATCATTTATATATATATATGTGCATATATGTTTCAGTCAGTTTTGCTGTTGGTTTTAGCATAACGCCCTGAATTATTCACTTCGCATTGCTGAGACATAATACCTGATACCTGTAACTTAAAGAGGGTGCAGTTCAGTTTGTTCAGTCTGTGAAGTTTGGTTCATGCTTGGCTGGTTCCAAGCCAGAAACAGCATGGTGGAACAGCTGCTGCGGGGGAAAGCTGCTCATGTCCTGGCAGCCAGGAAGTAGAGCAAGGGAGGAGGGTGATTCACCCCTCCAGGTCTCACCCCAGTGACCCCTTTTCCGGCCAGGCCCTGCCTCCTGCCAGCACATTCAGCTGTAGGACCCCATGATTCAGTCACCTTCCAGAAGCCCCACCTCTGCCTATGAGTTTGGGGGTCATTCTTGATCTAAAGTGTAGCACGCCCCCGAATTTGGATCATCTTTTATTTTACTTAGCATTACCTAAGTTTTGCTTCCTTACTTAAAATACAGTTACTTTAATTAGATCTTAACAATTGCTCCCCTCTCACCCAATCTTTAGGCTTTTGTTTGTTGTTGTTAAGAATAGGTAATAGGGATGTGACTGTAGCTCAGTGGTGAAGTGCTTGCCTAGCATCTGGAAGACCCTGGATTCAATCTCCAGTACTGAAAAAAAATAAAATAACATAGTTACTGTGGAGTCAGTCTGCTTTTACTGCTTCTACATATTTTTTATCAGAACGGATGGGACTGTAATATCTTCACCAGAGATCAATGAGTGAAACATGAAAAATGTAGCCAGCTGTAGGATTATTAATATCTACAAGAGTAGTACTGTAGATTTATGAAAGCAAACATTTTTGTAGTTTTTTTCAGTATTTTGTTCTAGAATGGCTCTCAGATAACCCGAGTAATGTTTATTAAATGTATTGATTAATCTGTATCTTAAAGTAGCTATCAAGAATACATGAAAACGAGTCAGGAGGATCACGTGAGTTAGAGAGAGACCAGGCTGGGCAGCATAGGAGACCTTCTCCCCAGTAAAAATAAAAACAAAACAAGCTAGGTATGGTGGTCCACACCTGAAATCCCAGTACTCTGGAAGGCTGAGGCAGGAGGACCACTAGTTCAAGTCCTGCTGGCAGAATCTAAATCTAAATAAAGGTCTGGGGATGTAGCCTAGGACAAAGGTGGCCCTGGATTCAGTCCCCAGGACTGTTGGCATCTACTGCTTTGAAACTCAGTGACTTTGGTAACTTTGCTTTTATTTTTTGGTACCGGGGATCAAACTCAGGACCTTCTGCTTGCGAGGCAGGTGGCGGAACCACTGAGCTAAATCCTTGGCAGTACTGTTGCTGTTTGACATGAAAATTCTGTCCTGGTTGTTGTTGTTTGGCCCTCCACACACAAGCTAGAATTTGGGTGTCCACTCTCTCACGTCTCTTTGCCATCTTTAGCTACAGCAGTTTGTTGGGTACTTGTTTGTGGTACTTGAGTACTAAGGTATCGGTGTAAATAACTAAAATAGTAAAAGTGAGGGCCAGCATTTCTTCCACTAAATTTCTGATAGAGCAATTTTCCCACATAAATTGATGAGACCTGATTAGTGGCTTGGTTTTCAGTATTGAACTTAACCTTTGTGATCAGTTTTTCATGGTTTGTGTTTTTTAAAAGATGCTGTAAACCTCTCTTTCTATCCTCCGTGGATTTTTCACTTGAATCACTTCCTTTTCTAGTGGCCAATGACAGTGCCCCAGAGCATGCTTTGAGGCCCGGCTTCTTGTCTACTTTTGCCCTGGCAACAGACCAAGGGAGCAAACTGGGACTTTCAAAAAATAAAAGCATCATCTGCTACTACAATACCTACCAGGTGAGTCCATGGTTATCAAATGGTTTGCTGATGTGAACTGTGCTTTTTGTGTTTCATATAAAAGAGCTGGTGTTAGGATTCTGCATTTGTTTTGAAGGGAATGAAACTAAAGTTTTAGCTTTAAATTGGTATGTTAAAACTAGTAATGTTCTTTACATTTTTATACCAGGGAATAAGTACTGTTGAGGAGCACTTAAAAGATTTAAAAATAAAACACATCTTAAAAATTACATCACTGTTAACTCCAGTAGATGGTGCCGTTGGCTAAATGACTGATTTCTCAGACTACAGTTTTTGCCGTGAAAGTGGATGAAAGTCACATAAGTTACTTAAATTTGTGACAGTTGCTAATCCTTTCATGTGGTTTGAAGTACATGTATCACAATGATTGTAAGATACCTGTTGATCTCTTTTGCTTGAGAGCAGTATTGCCTACAGTGCCTGGTGTACTGCTGACAACGGTGACTTTTTTATTTAAAAGTTACACGTGTGCAAGGGAAAAGATACCCAACCCATATAACCTTTAATTTACCAATAAGAATGAAGTTGAACCTACATTTTTTTAAAAAAGGTGATTAATTTAAAGTTAATGTAAATTTAAAATCACTTAAATTGCAGTTATAAGAAGGAGAAGTTATGAAGGTGAAAACACAGTAGCTCTCCTTTGTCTGTAGGGGACACAGCCCAGGGCCCAGGGTGCCTGAAACTGCAGAGACCAGCAAGGCTCATGCGCAGACAGAGGATAAGGTTAATGCATGAATTAGGCACACGAAGAAATAAACAATGACAGCCAGTTTGGTGGCACACGCCTGTAATCCCAGCACTGTGGATGCTGAGGCAGGTGGATTGGCACAAGTTCAAGGCCAGATCAAGTACAAACCAAAACCCTATCTCAACCAAATAAAAAAAGATGATGACTTGCTGTACATCTTAGCAACCTCAGCTTATGACTTTTTCTTTCCTTATTGAGAACTGTCATCTTTTTATATAAAGGAAGCTCTGTATGCTTTTCTTTGGCATATCTAAATTGCCAGCATCACTCCTCCTGGCTTTGGGCCATTATTAAGAAAAATAAAGATCACTTAATTAAACCCAAGCACTGCAATATACTGTGACTGTCTCTCTGATAAACAAGGCGGCTACTAGGTGACTAATGTGGGTGGCAGCTGGTACAGTGTGGGTTCCCTGGACAGAGAGGCGACCCTGTCCAGAGTGGAGCAGCGCGGTGTGGCACTCCCATCATAAGAGTCAAGCAATTCAAAATTGAAGAATTGTTTATTTCTGGAATTTTCCGTATAATATTTTTAGACTATGATTGAGCTTGGGTAACTGAATCCTTGGAAAGTAGAACCAAAGGCAAGGACATTGTGAATGACTTAGAAATTACTGCTGTTTTCCACTGAATTGCCAACCACTTATTGAACCTTTAACCTCTCCTGTGTAAGCGACACATGGGCTTTGAAATAAAAAGATGAAGACATGGTTCCATCTTGGAAACTTCCAGGCTAGTGGTATCAGTACCTCTAAGGTATGTCTGTTTTATGAAACCATTTATTTCCAGCTCTTTCATATTTCATGATGTAATACCACAGTATTAGGCTAGTAATATTGACTGCTTTAAAATTTGTGAAAGATCAAATCTTTCAGTTAAGCTATTCTACCTTGTCACAATGTATCATAGTATTTAGACTTTATTTTCTTTGCAGGTGGTTCAGTTCAATCGTTTGCCTTTGGTGGTGAGCTTCATAGCCAGCAGCAATGCCAATACAGGTGTGTTTTAATTATGGCTTTTAATCTGTGCAGTATAGATGAGAGATTTAGATTTGATGATCTGTTAGGTCTTTTCCATTTATGAACAATTTGAAGCTATCAAATAATGTGTTAAAATACTTCGCTGTGTGGGATAGTTGTGCTATCGGTATTTTAAGTGTACCAAACCACAATTTTGATATCACCAGTCATCACACACTAAATTATCAGTTACTATATATTGTGCTAATGTACAGAGTTATATTTTAATAGTTCCCTGGAGAGTCTGGATGCTTTTAATAGTCTATAAGACAGAGGAAGATGTTTGTATGAACAGAAAATAAGCACCAAGGCACATAAACCTTCCCTGTGGCAAACTAAGAAGCAAGATGTGCTAATTTCTAGATGAGTTTTTCTCTAAGATTCATTATTGAACTTCTTTTTGAACATGTAAATGTGTTTTCTATATTCATCTTTAAAGTATTTTTTTTTCCTGTGAAATACCTAGGTATGCCTTGGTTTTATTGAACTTATAGATAAATTTGATTTCCTTTGCCCAATATTAAAGCAGCCTATTTCCCTTTTGATATAATGTGCAAATTTGCTCAGGAAGAAAAAAATACACCTTTGTTAGTGAAAATCATGTGATTTGGAGTTAATGCATATTTTGAAATGAAGTATAAATTTAGGGCTTTCTTTCCCTTTTAAATGTGTATAGCAAATTATGATGCATATAATTCACTCTGTATCTACTAATACTGGTTTTTGTCATCCATCTACTTTAACAATAGATGATGAAAGTAAATACTACTTGAAAACACTTTGCTATGTGAGATACTGTGTCAATATTTTAAGTGTACTAAACCTCAGTTTTGATATCACAATAATGCAAATAGAAAGTTTGGTTACTTAGAATTACAGTATTGGTTTTAGTTCTGGGGAATAAACTGCCTGGTTTACTTTTTAGTAACTAAATTTTGGACAAAAGCAAATTTAAGTTAATGACATTTAGGGACATTTTTCTAATGATATAATCTTTTTTATCTCTGTTTTAGGACTGATTGTCAGCCTAGAAAAGGAACTTGCTCCATTATTTGAAGAACTGATAAAAGTTGTCGAAGTTTCTTAATCTAACTGTGGTTTCGATCTGTACCTTGTTCTCATTATAACACAGTATCAATCCAGCAGTCTTTAGACCACAGTAGTCCTTCTACCCAGGTACTCAAGAAAAAGGCCCTCTTTTCCACCTCCTGCTAAAGAAAGAGCCTACAGGTGGGTGGCTGCATTTTCTTGTATAAGCCCTTTTCTTGTTTAGTGAGATCTGGGGTAACCACGGAAGTGGTTCAGTCTACACAGCTCCCATGGAGTTAGTCCTTCCTCCAGGTTTGGATGAGAATCTACTCGTGGATCAGAATCACAGTGGCATGTGATTCACTTGAGTCACTGTGCTTGCTTTGTACAGTGCTCGCAGGCCTTTGCATGGTGAGAGTAATGAGGACATATTTTTCTTCAGATTATGCTTTATTTCTTTGGATTGAGTGTAAGGAAGATAAAATGGCTTAGTAAAATTAATAAAATCAGTACAATCACTAACTTTCCTTTGTACGTATTATTTTGCAGTATGGGTGAAAATTACTAATTAATTTGGTTCTCAGAGGATGCTGCTCTTTAATAAAAGGAAAATTATACCTTATGGTTTTTCTTCCTATTCTGCTTTCTATAACCAATCAGCGTTTTAATGTTTATCTGTTTTTTATAAAATTTAAATTTGATTTGTTACTGAATTGTTTCCTGTATAAGGATATATTGTAAACATGATAGTATAGTCATTTTTTCATACATGAGTATGAATAAAACAATTTTTAAAAAATATAGTTTGAGCACTTTATAAGTCTTTTTTTCCCCACATTTCTTTTAAAAGTTTATAAAGAATATAATTAACTTAATTATTCTTTGAACCACATGAGTAACTAGTGAATGTTTCTTGTTTGGGTTGGAGATTGTCTTTACCTGTTATTAACTGTTAGGTAGAAAATGTAGAAAATGAACCCATCCATGAGCCTAATAGTCCCCATGACAGAAATATCTCAGGCCTCGAACATGCCCTTGTAGGTTCGAGAATGCTGCCCATCACTCCAGTTGTTCATTTCCTCGTCAGTTATTTGACAGCTTGTCACTCATGAAAGTCAGTATGTAGGCACTGAGCCCCTGTGTCAGTCACCTGGACCACCAGAGCACAGGGCTAAGAAGCACCACTCTTATCTAGAAAGTGCTGTGATAAAGCTGTCCGGTAAGGTACTGTGGAATCACAAAGTAGGGGCACTTAGCATGGTGAGAATAAAGCTGTACACAGAAAGCAGCAAGAGTTTTATCTGCAGAGCACTATAAGTAGCTGTTAGGACCTAATGAAATATGGATCCATTAAAATACAAATTCTTATCTAAGCTATTGCTTAATGGCCATGAAATTGTTTCCAGTGAAGTCATATGTGAAACAAGGTCTCTTGGAAATTAAGTGACCATATTTTTATTTGTAGGTAATAATTATGTATCTAGAAATTCCAGGAAAAACTATAATAACCAGAGATACATAATCTTCGCATGTCCAGTATTTGTACTGTTCTCTTTCGACTTGAGGGGTAGAATAGATTCTACAGTCCATCTGAAAAAATTAGCACATGAAAATTGCTAAAAACTGTAGAAGGTAGAATAAAACTATACATACAAATTGACTTAAAAGATTCTAAAGATAAAGACTTAAAACCACACACACACACACATACATGAATGAGATAAAACATAAAGATGACATTGTAAGTTAATGGGGAAGGACTATCCAGTAATTGGGACAGGCTTTATTTCACATTCAGCTAGTGGTAGTATAATTTTTTTTTTTGGTACCAGGGATCGAACTCGAGTCCTTGCGCTTGTGCAGCAGGCAGAAAAACCACTGAGCTAAATCCCCGGCCCTTGGTAGTATAATTTATTGTAATAAATTGTTACACCCCATACGTTTAGCAATTCTGTAATCTTTCAAGCTTTCTGATGCACATGACCTTTGGTCCCATAGTTCTAGCATTTTTATTTTTTGAAGTTAAGAGTTTTTATTGGGAATAATAAGAATAGCTCCTGGGTTTCCAAGAGGGATTTAGTGTGGTTGGCCACATGGGTCCTCAATCCAGAGCTAATTATAGGTGAGCAGAGCCCAGGAATTGCTCAGCTGTTTACTGGCTACCTATCAGGTGGCTCTGTGGCTTCAAAATGACCAATTGAAACTCAGTCTCTCAAACCCAGTTCCTTGGCATGTAAGGTTTAAAGGAAATGGATTTGAGAGAAAAACTGGTTATTTTGCATGTGAAATTCCCAGGAACTCAGGAGTTTAGTAGGGAATGGCTGTATTCCATGTCTGAGTTTATCCCTGGTCCAAAGTCCCAGTTCACTGTCCTTATTTTAATTCTTGTCAATATTGCTAATTAACCCAACACTCTTGCAGGTGTCTCCCTAGCTAGATGCCTTATTTTTAAGCTAGCTAAACTATTTACACTTCCCACCTCTGAAGAAGTAACCCTTACTGCTCTTGGGGAGAAAGGGTGAAGACGAAATCTAGCTGCTTCTAGCTGAGGATTGGTGTAGGGAAACAGCAGTCAGGAATTTTCCAGAGACCTAATGTAAGGGTCCTGGGATAGAAGTCATGTTGGGATTTAGCAGTTATGTATGGACTCTCTTCAGAGATTCAGTCTAGTGGATCTCAGTGAAAGGATTTCTAGGAGGATCCCAAGTGGGTGGCCCTGTCAGGTTGATAGCCCAACCGGTTACCGGGGGATGCCTGCTCACCTGATTGAGGGTACAGTAGGAGATAAAAGAATAATATACAAAGAACAAATGATAGTTTATTACTTGGGGGGCCCAGGAATTGATCTTTAGCTGTCTCCTGGCTAAAGACCACCTGATCTTGGCTCTATCCAGGCTAAGACAATGAGCTCTGGATCAGTCAGTATTTATGATAGCAAGGGGGCGTGAAGGCAGATGTGAGGAGTAGCATAACTAATTTACCAATGAGCCAGACTATAAAAGGAGCAACTATCCCTGTGAAGGACAGGTCACAGTTAAGCTACCTGTGCTACCTCACCCGTCATAGCTAATGAGCCACCTGTGCTATCTTTAGCTGATGTTTGATCTGGGAGAATGGCTTCGCAGAGAGAATTCCCCAGCTGCAGTGTTTCCTTGCTATTAAGAGACATCACAGCCTCTTCACTCATTGAGACCTCAATTGTGACCATTAGCAATTCACACTTAGGCCTTGGAGTGACTCATAATTTTAACCAATAGCTGAATTATAAGCCATATCAATAATATCTCAGTGTGGTTTCAAGCTGGTCTGCATGATCCCAGGTATAGAAATTTATCCTACCAGTGAAATGTGCAAAATTATATATTATGTAAGCATATTCTTTGAAAATTGGAGCTATCAGAAGATTGGAAACATGTCCACCCTCGGTGGGCTGAATGTATTCTCTGGTTTTTCAAACTACCAGTTTATACCTGCTGTTTCTGGAATAATTGTTAATAATGCTGCTTTCACTCTCAAATGTCTAACTCTAGGTAGAGGTTTGGTTAAACAAATGACTACATTTGCCCACCTGAAAAGGGAAGTGCTTCAGGTTCTGAAATGAAATGATCTCCAAAGTGTAATGTTCACCGAAAGAAAACATAGTTTGAAACTGTTAGCATGTCACATTTTGTAAGAAGAGAAACTAACGTTTGTATACTATACCCAGACTGACACACAGGAGGAGCTGATTACAGTGTAAGAGCCTTCCCACAGTGGACCCTTTCACTACAAACTTTACTTTCTGAATTTTTAATCTTTCAATAACTTTAAAAATAAATGAGCTAAGATACTTCAGAAAACAAAGTGAGGAGGTATTTGGAAAGAAGGTGGTGACAGGGTTCTTCAAAGAAGTAGAACCAATAAGATAGATATTTCAACAAACTGGTTTGTGGGATCATGGGAACTGGCTGGTCCGAACTTTATAGACCATTTCAAAGGTCTGCAAACTCAAGCTCAGACTGTAGTTTTGAAGTAAGATTTCTTCTTGGGAACCTCAGCTTTGCTCTTACAACCTTTCAGCTAATTTCTGAGTCCTGCCCACATTATGGAGGATAATCTTTTACTTAGGGTTAAGGCTAGGGAACTACCTTCACAGCAATACTTGGCTTCATGTATGAATTACTGGGTACTGTATCCTAGCCAGATGGAAAAAGACTAACCGTCACACTGGGCTCCAGCATCTGTATGTATTCCTTAAAGTGTGTTTTAATCTCCAAGTAAAAGTAACTGTCCTGCTCCTACATGGACAACAGTCCTATGTACAACGGAGGATCTTCCTCAGCTCACTTCCACAGAAACTGCAGCCCATTCTCCAAAGGAGACTGAAGCCCTCAGGTGGGGCTTTCATTTCTCCTTGCTATCCTGTGACTTAGACATGTGATGTAAGATTATTAACTCTGTTAGTTAATAAGGGGAGAAGGAAAGGAAGAAAAATAGAGTCTGTTCGGTATATATATGTGTATATTTGTACATATGTGTGTATACAGACATCCCTGAGACCTGCAGTCCTCGCCTTGCCAGTCCAGTGCTGACTGCTAACCCACTCTGTGTTCCCTTTGTCCTCAGCAGCACACTGGCTGTGGCTCTGCCTGGTGCAGTAATTCACAGCTTCACTACTGAGGAATCTGAACCTTTAATTACCCTTCCTGAGTTGGGCTTTGTAGTTTCTATTAATTTTAGTCATGGAAGCTGGTGGAATGAGGATCTGCCTGATGCAGCCCAACTTCCCTCCTAATCAGGATCCATCAGCCCAGCCAGTACAGTAACCCTTGATGTGATGATTCTGAAATACAGAGCCTAATTTGGCAGGGTGGCAGTCTTAATGTCCCACTTAGTAATAGAAGCATCTACTGAAGAATGTGGTAAGACCAATGAATTTTTTTGATTTTGGTTTTGGTTTTGGTTTTGCTTTGCTTTGGTCTTTTGTTTTTTTGAGACGGGGTTTCACTTTGTAGTGCAGTCTGGCCTTGAACTCACAGTGATCCACTTCCCAAGTGCTGGGATTACAGGTGTGCACCACCACACCTGGCTTTTTCTTTTTTAAAGATATTTTTATTAGTATATGTTTGCAACATAATACATTCATTATGGGGAGTTGGTACATATACTTAGCACATCTTAATCATTTTTACTTCCCATTCCTCTCCTCCTCTTCCTCTGTCCCTAGATCCCCTTCTCATCTGCAAAAGGTCTACCTCCGTTTCCTATCATCTTTCATTTTGCTCTTTAAATTATTTATACTTTGGGTTTCTAACATAAGAGAAGCTATGCGATATTTAACCTGTGTGTTATTAATTTCCCTTAGTATTTTGGTTTCAAGGTGCATCCATTTTCCTACAAATGACTTGAATTTATCCTTTGTGGCAGAGTAATACTTCCATTATGTGTAAATACATTTTCTTTACCCATCTGTTGTTGGACATATAGATGGTTTCCAGGACTTAGCTATTGTGAGTTGTGTAGCTTATGAACCAATGGGTATGCATATATTGCTGTACAATGTCTTTAACTTTTTTAGGAAGATAATCAAGAATAGGCATATCTAGTGGAATGAAAGTTTTATCTTTAGCTTTTTGAGGGGTGTCCATACTGATTTCCATAGTGGTTGTACTAGTTTATACTCCCACCCAGAAAGTAGAAGGGCTCCTTTTCCCCACAAGCTTGCCAGTATTTGGTGTTTTTTCAGGTTTTTCTGGAGTAAGTTGAATCTCAGTGTTGTTTGATTTGCATTTCTGTAGAGGCCAAAGACACTGAACATTTTTTCACATACTTACTGGCCATTTTTACTCTGGTAGGTGTCCATTCATTGCACTTGCCGTTTTTGACTGGAAGACCAGTGATTTTTGTGAGCAATTGACAAGTGTGTTGTCTCCAAAATCCAAAGAGGCTCATGGTGTATAGTGTGTCTCTGGTTGTAGGAGGGCCAGATGCAACAAGTTGGATTACACTTGATCTCAGCCAAAAGGCCGAGAAGTGATAGCAAGTTGGATTAAAGAGAGAGTTTGACAGCCCTGGTGCCGTCGGACTTGTAAAAATTCAGTTAGGTGGAAGATGCCTGGATTTCTGTCGTGTTTATTTCTCTTTTATTTTGCTGTGAGGACCTCAGTGTACCAGCTCTTCTAGGCTTTGCTGCAGAGGCCAGTGACAGCAGTGTGCTTGGTCCTCTCCCTGATATGAAGTCCACCAACCAAACATGCCTTTCCCTTAGGTGTCTCCCTCTCGAAAGGCCTCCTAATCCTACCCAAGAGCTGGCTGGATCTGTGCTATCCAGTGTGTGGCCCACAGACGGGGCCCTTCTGCACACAGTGTGCTAACAGGGTACGCACAGAAGGTGGGAGTCAGTGCATAAAAATTCACAGCATGTCACCCGGGTGTGGAGGCGCACACCTATAATCCCAGCACTCTGGAGATCGAGGCAGGAAGATCATAAATTCAAGTCCAACCTGGGCAACTTAACGAGTTCCAGGCCAGCCTAAACTACACAGTGAAACCTAGCCTGGACTAGGAAAGCTGGGACACAGCGCACGTTAGCTGCGGACTCCAGCAGACAGCTCTGTCCTGAGAGTGAGGTCCTGTCACAGCCCTCACACCTGCCACACTGTCCTCTTGCCACTACTGCGCTGCCCTGAGTGTCCACCATCTTCCATCCCTGCAGGGCCATTGTCGTTGCTGTTCATGATAGTAAGCAGTTGCATTTCTCCTCAGTCACAAATTCTAAAATATGTTTTAATAACAAATAATACCTGCACAGCAAAGTCATGTTTTTTAATAAACAAAACCAAAGACTATAAATAAACACGTTTTACAGAAAGTTAAATCAATATTATGTATGCAGAGAAACACCTTTGTTTCTAAGAAAACAAAACCGCACACCTCAGTGAGGGCAGAGTGGTGACTTCTGACTCCGCAAGCCTGCAGCAGTGCATTTTCCCTCGAGACTGTCCTGACCCTGAGTGGGACAGACAGCACAGTTCATTAAGCGTACTGCAGTCTCTGCTCAGATGTCTAACCAACAAGGACTCACGTAACAAGATACCCCTCGGAACCACAAGAGCAGCGCTGCAGCTTTGCACCATAAGCTTATTTTCTGGTTCTTTGTCTATTTTTGTTGCCCTTCAAGCATCTGTCTCAGTGAGCAGTATTAATAAAGATAACAGAGGAAGCCAGAACCCGTTGATGTAATCTGGACACCTGTATCTCGTTACCATTTCATTCCTCTTATTCCAGTGTGAAACCGCGCTGTGACATTTTCTTCCATACATCGTGAGGATTTAGTGTTACTCCGAGTGGCAATATAAGCTGTTCATTAATAAGGTGCAGGGTGAAACCTGCACAGTTCACTCTGGGGGCAGGATTGCTACCACACACTCAGAGAAGTTTCCTTCAGGCCATTTGGAGAAATGTTGGCTACAGGTAGCTTAGTGCTTACAGATGCCCTGTGATTATTATAGCTAAACAGTAATAGTTGCAGTTATCATTAAACTACAAGTTACTTGTAATTACCCTTCTTCAAGTTATGTTTTCTCTTTCAGACATTTCCCCCAAAATGGTTAGATGAGATGTTTTAAAGATTGCACCTTCATCTCTCTTTGTCTTGCCCAAGGGCCCATCAGACATTCAGTGATAGTTTTATTAGAAGTGAAGGACACACTGAATTTCTAAGACTTTTGAAAAGAGAAAATAATTATGGAAAACATTTTTCCATTTTAGTTTTAGAAACTCTTTTTGGCTTTTGTATAAAGAGAAGAGCAAAACGACGACCCCTCCTTCCAGAGTGTGATGCTTGTTACTGGGTTTGCACTGTGAGGAGCATCTGTCCTGAGCCTTCCAGATCCTTTCCCTGGGGTCACCACACAGCCAGGGGCTGGGGACCCAACCAGGTGACTCAGAAGGGCCCGGGCGACAATGTCCACGGCCTGGGATGCCGCGCAGGGAACAAGCACCCATCTTTTCCTCAAGTGTCCCGTGCCAGCAGGCCTGGGGGGGTGGGGGTGCTGCTTCTCAGCAGCAGTGGCATCGTAGAAGGAAGCAGGATTCTGTGGGTCAGCAGCCACACAATATGGGCTCCAGTCTGTAGCTGCTCTTCATTTGTTTGAGGAAGAGTCTTTGGCTTTCACCTAAGCCTGTCAAGGATCAGTGTCGGGCAGCACCCAACCTTGCTTCCGGGCCAGGGTGCTCCTTGGCAGAAAGATCCATTAAAAGACGAATGAGTGAGATCGGATGGTGCCTTCCCCTTGGTTGAGCTGCTTCCGTATTTGTGACTGTAATAAAACACATGTACGTCTATTACTGAATGATTTTAAGAGAATGAACTATGAACTATTCAATAAGATGCACTGATTAGTAAAGAAGCCATGCACCTGTAAGTTAATTATCACCTCTCCCCCAGTTTGAATCTGATTTTCTGTATTTTTCTCCGGAGGTTATAAAGTTGCTAAAATATGTACAGTTGGGGAACTGATCTAATACAGTAAACCATAAAATTTAATAGTCTTCAATATATCAAAAGGTAGATACAAATATTGAAGTGAAAAGGGGTTATAATATATTATTAAGTGAAATGAGCAGGTAAAGAACAACCGGGAATGACTGAATTGTTTCTTGTGGGGGTTTTTTCAGCCAATTTTTTATTAGTACATGTTTGCATTCATCATGGGGAGTTGGTACATATACATGTCATATCTTTGTCCTTTATACTTCTCTTTGTCCCTCCCCTTCCTCCCTTCCTCGATCCCCTTCCCATCTGCAAAATGTCCACCTCCCTGTTTCTGATCACCTCTTATTTTCCTCTTTAAATTATCTATACTTTGACTTTCTCATGTAAGGAAAACCATTCAATATTTAACTGTGTCTCATTTATGTCACTTAACATTATTGGCTCAAAGTGCATCCATTTTCCTACAAATGACTCAAGTTTATCCTTTATGGCAGGGTTGTACTCCACTGTGTATCAATACCACATTTTCTGTATCCATCTGTTGATTGACATATAGACTATTTCCATAGATTTAGCTATTATGAATTGTGCTGCTACAAACATGGGTATGCATGGATCACTGTCATACAATGTCTTTAACTCTTTAGGGAAAAAACCCGGAAGAGGTATATATGAGAAATGACATTTTTATGTTTAACTTTTTGAGGAATCCATCTGTTTTCCTCTGTGACATGTTCTGGCCCCCGTTCCCCCTCCAGACAGACCTAGACCAACCCATATACCTTAAAGGAAGATCAGTTGCTGGGGCCCACGGCTGGGGTCTGAACACCCTGCCTCTCTGTCTTTATACGACACTGGCTTCAACTCTCTTCATGTCGAAAAACAATGGACAGGCCATTCCCAACCCTGCAAATGGCAGCCCATGATTCTTAGAGTTGGTCTAACTCCACAGAAATATGTCTGAGATTATCAGCATGTTATTTCCCAGGACCAGACATCTGAAGACTTATGACTCACCAGTTTCCATCGCAATATCTTGATCCATTCATCAGCTTCTACTCCTGTCTTCGCACAGAGATAAAACGTCCTGAATGGAAATACTAAGCTGACAAGACAAGAGAAAGAATGTGAGATCCTCCAGATGAATGGAACACTAAGAGTGTCCCATGGGAAAAACATTTTAAAAGCCTCCAGGTAAGTAGTAACTTGCAGAACTGTTGTATACTGTAAACTGTAGAAACATCTAGGAAACCATAGGTTTGTGTTATTATAAGCAAGATTTATATTCTCTAATGAGACTTCAAAAAGAAAAGAACATGTATAGGACACTCCTGTCTCAGGCTTAGGACAACACTTATGTGTTTATTCAGCTGAGCTCTCAAATGATTCAGAACTTGTGCTATGGTTCAGAGACTACACAAGATAGAGAAGAATGTTTGCTGAAAGCACTCATGTTCACGTCCTCGAGGACAAGTCTGCCTTCTGTGGATGCAGGCAGTTAAAACATGAAAAGAGACAATACAATTCCTCAGCTGCTTGGCACATTTCTGCCCATGGCTCAGCCTCTACTGGAAGGAAAATGAACTTTGCTGCTGGTGTGTAAGACTTTTCATGGTATGTGGTAACTTGTCATCTGACCTCTGATTACAGGTCAAAATCATGTGAGTGGTAAGTTCAGTCCCAGCTCAAATCCTGAGCATTCTTCTTGTACTTACAGTTCAAAACACTAACAGTCTTTTTTCCTTTCCTGAAAAAAAATCCCTTAACTAAAACTCTACAGTTCAAAGGTGTTATGCTTTGTGTTTAAATGTCCCCTCAAAGCCTCATGATTTTTTAGAGGTGACTGTATCTAGAGTGTGTGATTGATTCATGGTGGGGATAGACACCAGGATTAAGGGCGTGAGTGCTACACTCCTTAATAGTCTGCCTAAGATAAAAAGGGCAGAAGCTGTTAAGGTCCCTTGTTGCTTTTGCTACTGTGTGAGTGCCATGAAGTATTTCTCCTCTGCAACACCCCTCCACCGTGTGTGACTCTGACTTGGAGCCAGCTAATTGTGGACTGAAATCGCTACAGACGGTGAGCTAAATATACCATTCCCCCTTTCACTTGCTCGGAGCTCCTGGGGAGACACTGCTCTCTCTATCCATTAACCCAGATAAATCTCCCTTTCTTCTTGCTAAGAGAATCCCAGGCAAGAGTCACTAAGTAGTTTAAGCCACTGTGATTATGCTTCACTGTCACAACCTCCCCGCTGCTGGGGACGGCCTGTCACTCAGTCTTGGCCAATGGGACACAAGGGGAGGTCTACAAGGGGTTCCAGGAAATGCTTTCCTGACAAGAAGGAACAGACGTGGCCAACACCATCCCTACACCTTCGTCACGCCTGTGGACACACGGTCCCTGAGCTGGGAGTTGGAGCAGCCACTTGGACATGAGCAGCCAGGAGAGGGGAGACTCTTCTCCTAGTCAGAAGGTTTTCACAATGTACTGATAATATCTGAACAAAACCCTTTTGTGCCATTAGCCAGAAATTGTTGTAACAACATAAACCAGCCATGATTGGAGTCAAAAACATTATAACTAAAATGGGGAGGAGCTCAAAGCAATACAGCTATCTGTGAATGGCAGAGTGCCTGTCCCCAGCCCCACCTCTCTGTGTGAACGAGGTACTGTGTCACAGGCAGCTGAAGCACCACTCACATGCTGGCTCTGTTTGGCAGTTAACTCCACGTCCCTCAGATCCATGAATGTGCAGACACAAAGACATGCAGCTTTTTAGCCTGAGCCAAAAAAGCATATGGCAAGAAGATTTTAAAAACATTTCTTTTATAAAATGAACTTACCAAAAACAGTTTACCCTCTCCTGTGAATAATCAAATTGGACAGCAGAACATTCTGTTAGGTCTAGGGTCCGAATTGGTTCTGGTGACTGAAAGGGAAAAAAAGCAACCTATGTCATCCTAAAAATGAACACACACATCTGTCTGTCACCTGACAGGTCTTCCCCTGTGTGAAACTGTCACTCTTCCCATCACTCAAAGGACCGGGACTGGAGAAGCTTAGTAAGAGAAGTTCCCTACTGGGCTTTCAGGACACTAAGCACTGGGACATCGCTCTCATCAATTCACAGTAGATGGAAGTGGATCTAACACATGGGAGGGAGTCCTTTTATCTATTCTAGCTTCTTTCTCAGAGAGTTTGTATAAGGAAAGAAGGAAGAAATAACGTACTTTAAGTTGTCATAATAGATATAGTTTTAATAAAGGGAGAAATAGCTGCAGAGAGATAGTCAATAAAGTGTGGTAAAAGAAAGTTCATTGCTCTAAGCAGAAGGAATTGGGTGTCCTGGAGAGATACAGTTTAGTAAGCCCAAGAGGCAGCTTCAGGGATACACAGCTCATCTTAGCAAAGAGGTTCTGCTTGTATTAAGAATTAGGAACTCACAACTCCAGTAATATATTGTTTCAGGTAGACAAAGTAAAATCTGATTTTAAAGGCAGAAGTTCCTTAGTGGCTTGTCTCTCTATCAACCAATGAATAGACAAAGACAATGTGGTATGTATACACAATGGAGTACTACTCAGCCATAAAGAAGGGTAAACTTTGGTCGTTTGTAGGAAAATGGATGCACCTTGAGACCACAATGTTAAGTGAAATAAATCAGATACAGAGGGTTAAATATTGCATGGTTTCTCTTATATGAAAAACCCAAAGTATAAATGAAGAGGAAAATAAAATATAGATAATAGGAGCCAGGGAGATAGGTCTTTTGCAAATGGGAAGCGAATGAAGAGATGGAGGGAAGGGGAATGGGAGGAGAGAAGGGAAAGTAAAAAAGAATCGAGACATGCACCAACTCCCCACAAAGAATGTAATCATTACACACTGCAAACATGGACTAATAAAACATTTAAAGAGTTCTTAAAACACAGATGTTCCTTTCACTAGAGAGCTGATTTGTAAAGTGCAAATGTATGACCATATTCCTCACCATCTGGTCTTTGAAGTATTTCAGTTCATTTCTGTGCAGAGTGAACCATCTCATTTTCCAGGTCTGAGAAAAAAAAATTAAAACACTTAGGTTTTGAATACAATAACGCAATATTTGAACTAGATGATTTACTTTTCTTTTAAAAGTACTTAAAAGATTAGACAAAATAAGTCAGAAAATACTCTTTTACAAGTCTCAAGAAATCTACAAAAATTAAAACGATTCCATACATTAAGTTTATAATGGTGGCAGAAATACCATTAATTAGCTCATTTAAACAAATGAAAAGATACAGCTTAAGATAAACATTCAAGATGATTTATAACAAATTACTATAATTTTTATTTTGTTAGCTTTATAATAAAAATAGCTATCACTTCTGAGCACCTACTGGAAGCTACATACTCTCCTTGGAAATGTACTCATATATATATGTATTTAATACATGCTTGGAAGTGCCTTTATAGTTTACTTATATTTACATATATATATTATAGCCAGTCCTCACATAACAACATCAAATATTATTTTTGTCTTACAAATACATCCAAGCACACTGTTTCCCAACCCTTGCCGAAGTGCGTGACACAAACCGGGTTGCCCGTGGTGGCCTTCTTGGTACCGACAGAGCCTGATCCATCCCGCGGGCAGCGTCCCGGGTTAAGAGGAGTGACAGGACCTCCACTCCCCGAAGTAGCAGGGACTGGAATAACTAAGCACCTAGGTTGCAGTGAGCATGCTGAGTCCTGGTGCAGCAAGCTGGGGACGCCCGGTAAGTGTCTGTGGCCCAGGGAGACGAACAGGACCTTTAGGGACAGCAACACGGGCAGGGGGCCCCACTGGGCAGACTGGGCTTGCAAAGCCCCACAGAGTGTTTTCCTCGGCATCAGGAAAGCTCTTCTTATCAGCATCAGGCTGACCTGTAAGCTGTACAATCCTGACCTCTTCATTTAAAAAACAGAAAGGACAGGACAGGCAGCTCTCAGGTGGACTCACTGCCTTCAGCATCAGCCTTCCCTAACTGGGCTTAGTTTTCTGACTGCTGCAGGCGCTTCTGCAGAGCTCTGCCTAAGAATCACTCAAAATGACTTCCAGGGTGATGACTAATCATCATAAATGCGACTCTTGAAAGACACATTTTATAAGTGGGTCAAAATGAGTCAGCAGCTTTTAACAAAGACACTGGCAACCCGAGAACTGGGAGCTGCATCTCTGGCTGTGGGGAAGATGCACTGCTTACCTTGACCAGGCCACCCTGCTTGGTGAGGTAGCCTTCCTTGGTGCCCAGCTGCAAGAGAAAGAAGCCCCGTGAGCCCAGCATGGTCACAGGGTGACGCCTGCCCATCAGGCCTCATCCTACTTTAAAAGGGAGAGGAGGTAGCCTCAGTCGTTCCAGGGTCGGCTCTGTTCTTCACCTGGCCCTGGAACCACTCAAGGCCGGGAGTGCTGTCCTCAGGGTCCTCTGCTGTCCCTCTACACTGATAGCCGTGACAGAAGGGCTTCCTGCTGGCCACACCCAGCAGTCTGCAGACAGCAGACCACGCCACCCCTCTGAAGTCTGTGCTGTGAAAGTGCTGTGTGCAGTTGGCTGTGGGTGTTGCTGGACAAGTGCGATGCGCAGGTCCCGCAGGTCCTGGCCAGCGTGCCTCAGCCTCGAGTCTGCGCCCCTGCATCGTGGACCCAACCAACCCCCAGGGGACGGTGTTTGGAAAAAGCTGCTCTGAACAAGTGCAGATGTTTCCTTGTCGCTGCACCTTAAACAACACAGTCTAGACATGAGTGACACTGCCCTGACAGAGCATCCATCGAGTGTCATACATCACCTCGAGAGGGAATTGTGCACAAGGGGCCTAAGCGTCTGAGGATTGGTGCTGCTGGGGCCTCAGACCCGCCCCCCGCAGACAACAAGGGTGCTGTGTGTTTGCAAAACTGTATTAAGGAAACAGAAAGGATCCCTTCACCTCAGGGCTGCTGGGCAACGTGCTGTGTGTCTTTTCGGAGGGTCCTCAGCAGCGGCAGCCCCCGCTGTTCCTCACACAAACCGTCCCTCAGAACCCAAATTCCAGGGCCAGAGCCTGGGGTGCAGATTCATCCACACCTCACGTGGCCTAGGGGACTGGAGGGCAACGACCAGGTTCTCTTAACACCGAAATCACTGCGGTAGCACCACACACTTACCCAGCACCCGCAGACACTCGGCAGGTGCAGGCTGTGTGAGGAGAGAGCGGTGTGCGGTACGGAACCTAAGGTCTCAGTGTGTATCATTTCATAACTTCCTGAAGAGACCAAATTCCAGGTAGGACGTTTCATTCTGACATGGTCTCATAATATGCCTTGTACTGGTAAGGAAAAAATGAATAAAAACTGGGAAATGACTCAGGTGACATCAGGGTTCTTGTTAGGGGAGTTTCCAGAGTATTCCTTCGTGAGAGGAGTGCTCCCTACCAGTAAAAAGAGGAACAGCCACCACCATGCGGAGGATTCAGGCAGGAAGTGGCACAGCCACCCACACACGGGTCAGTAAATGTTGGGAGCCTCCCAGGTGCTCCTGTCAAGAAGGCTAATCCTGTTGACTGATACCACAGGTGACCTAGTTTATTCTGATGCCGAGCAACTTGAACAAACTGAGTCTAAGTATCAAATAATGTCAATGGTGAAATGATCCCGTAGGGTTGCTGAGGTTCATGTCTATAGAGGAATAATAATTCAGGGCAATTTCTTGTAGAAAAGCCTGGTAGAATCACTGAGGTCAAGCTAAGAAGAAACACTCTCACCCTCTGACCCCCATCCAAAAACACACTGCAGATTGAGGTTAGGGTTAGGGTTAGGGTTGGGATTAGGATTAAGATTAGGGCATTTTGTGTGGCTCTGGGGCCTGGAAAGTTTCAAGAGGGAAGAGCTGAGAACACTCATTTTATCCAGGATCTCAGGATGTAAGAAATGAGATAATTATATGCAGATTAATCTTTTAAATAACATATGATTGGTAACAGGAAGGACCCTGGTGACAGCCCGGATTGGATACTGGCTTTCCTTCCGCTGCCCCCTTGGATGTGGCCAAACACTGTCGGGTGGGGGAGGTAAAGTGGGCATCAGCATGAGAGTGGTCATCTGCGTGGCCAGCGCCGGTGATGGTGACAGTGATGCAGATGGAGGCTGGCAGGCTCTGTCCTCAGGGGTGGGAGCTGCAGGGATGAGGCAGGCGGTGGCTCTGCTCAAGGGCCTGGAGCTAGTGCAGGTGAACTGGGAGCAGGTGTCCTGCAGGGATGCGCAGCAGGAGTGGTGACTGGAGCCTGCTCACGTTCAGGGGGTCCGCAAGTGTGTGAGTGATGGGGTAATGGGGACCTCGAGCCTCACGAATATGGGAAGGGGAAACCAGAAGGAGCCTTGTGACATTGGATTAGGATGGAGGTGTGGTGTGAACCGGGGGGGTGGGGGTGGACAGAGCAACAGGTTGGCAGATAGATCAATCGACAGATAAATCGATCCATCAATAGATAGATAGATAGATAGATAGCCAGGTGTAACACAGGCATATATATTGGTACCTATGTAGCTGCACAGAGATTTTCCCTGGCCCTGTTCACCAACTGGGTGGGACAGTGACATCCCTGTAAAAGTAAGCACATAGTGCTCAGATGCTGATGTCTAAAGTGCCACTTTGCAGGAAAAACAGAGTAAGATTTCTTGGAGAAATAGATGATTCCAGAACTGGGCACAGGAAAACACAAGAAAGTGGGACATCTTGTTCCACCAGCAAGTGAGGATGTTATGGAAGCATTCAGAGCCCCGAGGGACATAGCAGCTACATCGAAAGGCCTCCTACTGGCCAAGTCTGTGAAATTTTGAAGAATCAAAATAAATAACGATAGTCATGATTATAACCTATTGATATAAAAATAAAAGAATGAATTTGTATTGATGATAAAAAGCTTTTCCTTCCCCTAGATGACAACGAATACGCATAAAGGATTGGGAGAATCCGAGGCTTCGTTAGCAACAATCATGGTAAGGACCAAAATGGTGAAGAGACCACTGTAAACACCAACATTGGTGGACACAATGCAGTGAGGAGCAGGACGTGCGCAGTCTCCAGTAGCTTCCCCAAGAACTTAATAGGGAGGGTATGAGAGCCACAGTGGAGAAACCTGGCACTAAACAGGCTGCCCCAGGACAAACTGAGACCAGGCCAGGACTGGGAGAGGGAGAGGCCCAAGGGTCTCTCTTGTGTCCTCCCAAGTGCAACACTAGGTCTGCTCAGGATTCACTGCCGGATGAGCCACAGCTGAGGGACAGGCCTCTAAGTGACCGCCTTTGACCTTAGCAAGTACCAAATTTAGGGGACAGTGGTGAAACCTGGGCACCTGTGGATAAGGCATGGATGGGTCACCGTTAACTCCGGGAAAAAGTCCTGGTTTGTAGGAAAGCAGACTGCAGTGTCAGAGCGGGAGCCCCAGGAGGCCCGAATGTAAAAACATAATCAAGGGTCTTCTAAATAAATTGATGTATTAAATAATGGAATATGGATGATGTTTTAGAAAACTATGTAATAACACGGACGATGTTCACCAGGCATCATTAACAAAAATATTACAACCACAGTTCAGAGCTCAGTACATATTTATACACTGTATATACGGTGGAAGTTCATTATGTATCATACGTCTCACCCAAATACAGAAGGATAGATATGAAAATGAGGAGTGAGTGCTTCAAAGACAAAACATTGGAAAATGCCAATTTGTTACGGAGGTGTCCAAGAAGAGAAACTGTAACACATGTCAGTGGTCACAGATGGAGAGGGAAAGATGCTACAGAGGCAAAGGAAATGGCTTTAGAAGAAGGGAGTTGTCAAGTACCACAAAGGGAAGTTAAGAAAGCTCACATTTTCAGTAACATCTTGTATGTTGGGAATATGAAATATATGACCTTACTAAATCTCTGCCAGTGTAACTGCTTGGTTGTTCCCATTTGGCAGGTTTAAAACTGAGTCCTTTCTCCTGTCCCCAATCCCCTCCTGTACCCTTGGACACTTGGTGAGCGGTGCATCTCTACCTGTTGCTTTCTTCCGTGACCACACCCAGCCCAGCAGCACCTTTCTTCTGCCTCTGAGAAGCATCCTGAGGCCTTCCAGTCCCTACCCCTCCCCTTCCTGCCTTCTGCTCACTTCCCCTTCCCAGCTGTCCCTGAACCCCACCCACCACCTGGAGTGAGAAGGGTCTTCCACAAAATTTAAAAATTAAACAAATTATGTGGGTAAAACCCTCTCTTCTACGATGAAACAGACATCATTTTTGTGCCCTAGGAGCATCTGCGTTAGTGTACAGCAGGCACAATCTCCTTTTTATTAACTCAGAGCCCGACACATGAGTCCTTGGTCTCATTCAGAGCCATGGAAATCTTTACATGGCGACCAACAGTGGAGAAGTCTGCGACAGTATTTCCAGATACTCACAAGAAAGGAATTCACTTGCTGTCACACACTTCTTTCCTCTCCTTCCCCAAATGTCCCTAAGCGAGGAGACCACACAGTGGGTGGACGTCTTAGTCAGTGAAGATGCACACAGGAGTCGAAGAGAGAGGACGCTCACATGGGCGGGGACGGGAGATCAGAGAGCCAGGGAAGTGTTCGGGAGAGAGAGAAGTTAGAAGCTACGTATTCTGCTGTGGAGATGAGAAATGACCATTGTTTCAGAAAGCAGCCGAGCACTCTCAAGATGCTGAGGCTGGAGTAGCTAGGAGCCAGGAGCTCGTGCATTGGGTGCATACATGAAGGAATGAGCATGCTGGTTCACATGGAGACCCGTAAATGAGTGTAATGAGTGCTTATAGTAAAGAGGAAAAAACTGAGAGCAAACAAACAACAAACCAAAAACAGAAAAGGACCGAGTCCGTGGATTTCCTCCACTGGGAGGCTGGAGGGTACATTTTCTTCCCAGCCCCTGCAGGACTGGAATGCACTGGGCTGGGGAGGGAGGGAGTTGCCGCTGGGCGTGCTGTGCTCCACAGCCATTTCTGTCCTGGCCCCCATATGGCCGGTGCCCCCATCATGTCAGTGCGCGGGCAGCACGCAGATCCCTGAGCCTGTGCTGGACACAGGCAGCAAGGGCCAAGCAGCTGCTGGACCCCACCTGACACCCGGAGACCCCGGAAGCCACACATCCGGGCTCTTCCTACACCCCAAGTGCACCGCTGCCTCTACTCCCAGGGTCTGTTTCTAGCCGTTTTGGGTGTGACAGTCTGTCATGTACTGCAGAATACTTAGCTCCTGGGCTCCTGTCCACTGTCAGGGAACAAGCCTTCATGGTCTCTTGTGTTTCTGTTTCACTAGTAAGGCACTGATGCCCGTTGTTGCAGACCAACTTTTAAAGCAGGCTTGTGTGGCAGCAACCGTGGAAGAAAGAAATAATGTCTCCCTCCAGACCAAAACACAGACGTGCTTAGTGTCCGTTATAGAAGATTTGGGTTTGCTGGACCCAGTGGCACATGCCTGTGATCCCACCACTCAGGAAGGCTGAGGCAGGAGGATCTCAAGTTCAAGCCCAGTCCAGGCAACTTAGAGACTTAGCAGGGCCCTGTCTCAAAATAAAATATTTTAAAATGGACTGGGGTTGTAGCTCAGTGTAAAGGCTCTGGGTTCATTCCCCAGTACTTAAAAAAAAATTAGGTTCCAAATATTGGGTTCCTCTCCTCCGCACAACCCAAGGTGAGTGGACATCTTCCGTCCTTTTAACGTCCTCTGGAGCTGGGACAATGCCTAGGGACCTGGCCCAAGTGCGACCATTCTGAGGACTGTTCCTGCTGTGACAAGCCGTGCTGTCCCTGACTGGAAGTCTTGCGGCAGGTGAGCTGACAGGCTGGCTGTAGGGTGAGGTCCCCAAGTCCCCCGATCTTGGCACCAACATGGTGGTGTCCCCAAGCACAGTGACAGCCGGACACTCATGCATGCCTCTCGGGACCTCACCCCACACCATTCTCTGAGGGCCCCACTGCCCCAGCCCTGTCCTCACAGCCTGAGCCACCTCACCTCCTGCACTGCCTTCCAGCCCCAGGCACTCAGCCCTCCTAGCTGGCCGTGAACCGCTTGGGGCCCCCAGCTTGGTGTGCGCTGTCTCTGTCTGCAGCCCCGTCCCATGCCCTTCAGGGAGTCTCTGCTCAAACGCTGCCCCCTTGGCCATCTCGAGATGGAGCTTGACACGGGACTTTCCAAGGGTTGACGATGCTACCGCGGAAGTACAGTGCGTGTGTGTGTGTGTGTGTGTGTGCATGTGTGCAAGTGTGTGTGCCCAAGCTCTGCATTTTTCGGATTTACCCTGGAGTAGATGACCTGGGTCACAGCTTTGAGCACTGTGTCCTCTCCAAGTTTTGGTCCCACGCTAGAATTCTCATGCGCTGATTACTTACAGAGGGTGCGGCAGGCATGAGGTCGCTCTCTGTCCTCCCCGTCTGCATAGCCGTGTGGACCCGGACAGACTCGTAGATGGCAGGCTCCTCCACATCCCTGGGGTAGGGGTGTCTGAGCACCATCAGGGTGCCTGTGTGAAGACAGAACGTGTCATCAGTGCTCTGGAGAGGACAGGTGTCTGCTGCAGGCCACACAGCGCTGTGTATTTGCTTTTATCCCCACTGTTTGTGGAGTGGCACCTCAGCCGAACACTGAAACAGAGACAAGTCCTCGGCCCTCGTGCTTGGAACTTGAGTGGACACAGTCACCTGAATGAGGGTGGTGAGACCCACAGCAGCCTCTCGAACACAGCCCGAGCACAGGACCCAGGCCAGGGACACTTGGAGACACTTCCGCCCAGAGGCCGCCTGGGCCTGGACCTTACACAGTCACTGGAAGTTTCCAGTGGGCTTTGCAAATCCACGGGAAACCAAGCCCTGAAGTGCCCAGGCTGGGAGGACCCACGCCCCATGCTTCTTCTTCTGGCTGGAGAGCAAGCCACAGCCCCACGGCGCTCACAGCAGTGGACCCCCCCCCCACACGTGCTCTGCCCCAGGCTCCCCAGGAAACAGAAGGAGGCTTTGCTCTTCTTCCTGAGCACCAGGTGTGGGGCCGAGCTCCCTCCCACAGCCTCTACCTCCACCTCCACCTCCACCTCCATCTCTGGGAGGAGTCTTTCCCTCCGTCAGTCAGTCAGAAACTAGAAACTCTGCCCACAGAAAGAGCAAGCATGAGGGGTTTTCCTCCTCAATGCAGCTTCTTACTTTTTATTTCACGAGGGTGTTTGGACCGCCAGGTCCAGGGGCTGCCATAGATGTTGAGGAAAAGTAAGAATTCATTCAGTTAGTCAGTCACCAAACACCCCAGGCTCTGATCTATGCCAGGGGCTTGTGTGGGCAGGAACAGCAGCAAACATAAGGAGCTCACTCTTCCGGAATGGGCTGGGAGCAGGGCCTGCATCGAGGAAGAGTTCAGCTATGAGAAGAGTCCAGGAAAATGAATGGAGTAGGGGCAGGGGGCTGAGGGGGGACCTCACAGGGGAAGTCACCTGGGAGAAGGCAGCTTGGAAGGCCCCAGGAAGCACAGACTCTGAGCTGGGTGAGGGCAAAGACGGAGAGTTCCCTTCTGTCCTTAACTACCTTGAACCCATGATGACTCTGTGTGTGATGCTCTGGGTGGTGTGGGGGCACTGGGCCCAGGTCACGGGCTGTGATCAGAAGCCAAAGCCCGAGAGCATCCCTGAGCTCAGCCCGGTTCTCGCACACCATGCTGTCTCTGTCACTGTGACCTCGTCAGGACACAGCCTGTCATACGAGGTGTCAGTTCCACAATCAGAATGAAACAGCCACACCCAAACCAAGAGCGGCCTTTGAGGGGCGCAGGGCCGGCGAGCTCTGTGGCTACAGCAGCTTCTGAGTGCAGCTGTGCAGCTCTTGGAGTCCAAGCCCAAGGGACAGTGGCCAGGATGGAGACCAGATACACAGAGGACAGGGCTAGACTGCCACTGCCATCCAGCACCCGGGACTCTCATGCTGTCTTCACAGGCTGTTAAAGCACCGAGGAAGCAGTGTTGCCAAGAGGTGATACATGGTAGGTATTATTTCTCCTTGGGACAGAGCATTTCCAAATTCCAATGATTGCTCCACTGAGGGAAGGGACTAAAATGCTAAGTGACAACAGACCAGGAGCCACATTCTGATGGGAACAGGACTGATGCCACTTTGTCACATCAGTGTCACCAGAGATGACACAGATCTGACTGGGAGGGAGAGAAGCAGAGCCCAGGCCTGGCAGCCTGAAGTTAGGGTCACTTTCGAATCTCAGGCTTCATCTTCAAAGTCAGTGCTGAGTCCCCTGGTGTCCTATGACATATGCCGATGACACTTTAGATGACCCTGGGGATGGGCCGACTGGTTTTACTTGTTGCACATCCACTCCCACGTTGCTGCCACTCGGGGCAAACTGCTGCAGACCTGGAGGTCACAGTCCGGCCAGGGCTGCCCTCATCTAACTGGGCATGAGCAGGCCTGCTCTTCTCTTTGTGGCCTGGTGGAGGCAGCCTTCGCTTGGACTTGTGGCACTTTCCTTCCATCTTTGAAGGTCGGACCGGGGCAGGTCCTTCTCTGCTTCTCCCGCTCTGCTTCTCCTTCTTTGCCTGGATCATGTGGGATGTGTCCTCCCCAAGACCTCTGACCCCAGCCTTCTTTCCTTCTGCAAACATAATGCCCTTTGGCCGTGTGACATCCAAGGCCACAGGTCCACAGAGAGCTGTGCTGGTTTGTTAGGGGCCAACAGCTGCAGTCTATGGGGGACAGGTGTGTAGCAGGGGTCACCTGCAGGGCACTGCACTTCCCTCTCAGAGCCCTTTGAGCCTCTTCTGAGCAGGAATGGTGTCGGCTTGTCTCTGTTTACCTTCCCATGGCTAAAAGCCTGTGACGCAAAGCCCTGATGAGAGAATGAATGAATGCCACAGCGGTTAGGTCCAGCTCAGCCTCCCAGGCCACGGCTACTCTGGCCTGAGGCATGGAAAGGGGACAGGATGACCTCCAGCCTATCTCTCCAAGTCTCATCCGAAGCAGGCGTCCAGATTCAATCTGAAACCTCTTCTCCAGTGCAACCCAAGTTAAGCTGGGAGAACAAAGCTGACTGCAGGTTTGACCTTTTAAGTAGTGAAGCCAGTTTGGAGGCCAGATTTGTTGGGTGAAGGAAATGGAAGCAACCTGTAAAGGGGTAGCATCCATGGAAAGGCATCCGATATGGCAAGGCAGATCTCCTTAGCTGGTCACTCCTGCTCCACGGAAAGCCAATGTGCAGCCATCTTGGCACGGTTGCCAGGTGACTGTGATTGCCTTGTGGGAAAGACGATCCTAGCCCAGATCACAGAGACGGAGCCCAGGCCCTGATCCTTGCCCGTGACCTCAACCACAGCCACACCATGTGTGTTCCCCACCTGCCCTGGACTTCTGCTGCTTCTGTAGAGAGAAGGCCACCAGCTCTCATGTGTGCACTGCTGGAGTAGACAGTCGATTCCTGCCTTTGACTGGAACCTGGTCTCAGAAATGCTCCACAGAGGGACATTTTGAGATGCGCAGAGGTGGGTGGACCACCAGACACCTTTTGATCCACTTGTAGCCTTGGGGTTGCAGAACTACTTTATCTTTGCCGGGTTGTTTGCTTGCCCTTAAGTTTTGAAAGGACATATTCATATCTTTGTAAACAATTCCACCTCTCCTCCTGTACTCCACTCCCCGTGCACACATTTTTGTTTTTAATTCAGCGAGCCAGAGTTGGTTCTCAATCAAAAGAAACATCTCTTAATGCAGCCACTACACTCACAATTTCCACTCTGGCCTACGTCGGTACTTGGGCCCCAGAGAGGAATTCTGGGTCAGAGGCATTCTTTCAGTGAGCTCCCAGAGCTGGAGAAAGGCTGGGAGGAGGCAGGGGTGGTAGAGGAAGAGGGAGGAGGAGGATCGGTGCCCCAGGCCTTGGAAGTGGGGCTGCAAGTTTCAGTTCAGCTTCTGAACAGGTTTCAGGCGGCTGCATTTCCTGCCTCTGCCTTGAAGCCCGGTTTCATCTGCGCTCCCCCAGGGGTCCAGCTCTGCGATGAGCAGAGCCAGCCCGAGGTGGGCACTGCAAGGCTGCAGCACACGAAGGACGGTCATTAATCCACACACCGTGGAGTGGAGGACACCAAGGATGCCCGCCCACCTTCCAGCAGGAGCCAGGGAAGGGCAAGCGCGATCGCAAGCCCCTGGGCCGAAGCTTTGGAGTAAGAGTGCGGTGCACAGGGCTCCCCTCTGGGGCTTTTGCTCAACTCTTCCTTTAGGCCTGGAGTTGGCGCTGGCTCCCCGCCCCTGGGGTGCTGGAAAGAGCTGGGGCCCGAGGGTGTGTCCTCTGAGTCTCCAGGAGCCTACGATGCCATGGCTGGTCGGCGCCCAGAACCTATTTGTTGAAGTGGACTGAAGCGAGACCACGCCCATCCAACGTTCATCACTGTCCTAAGGCTCAGAAAATGAGCTAACAGCTGCCTTGAGCCTCTGTCTCCCCCTGAGCTGGGAAGCGGCTCTCTAGGGAGGTCTGTGAGAACATCCGACTGCCTTCTACTTGCTCTGCACAAGAACTCCATCTAACTCCTGCCCATTCACCCGGAGGGTTTGTTCTCCAGCTTTACAGGGGAAACTGAGGTGGAATCTCCTCCATTGTCCACAGTCCACCCTAGGGAGGGAGCAGATCAGCAGCCAGCACAGGAGGGAGGCTCCTTAAATATCTAATCAGGCCGAAGGAGCAGGGAGGAAATAAAGACAGGCAGGAGGGAGATGGGAGCAGCAATTTTATCATGGTCATCTCAAGTCCACAGTAGCTTCCAGACACCCACAAGTGTCGGTTCCAGTCCCTCACTTGTCCACTTCTTTCTTTTTCAAACACACCTCGCCTACAGACTAGGAGCTTCCACTTTCACTGCACACGAGCTGAAGGAGCAACTCCTTGTTGTGGCTTGGCAGTGTTCGGAGCGGTCACTTGTTTGCAGAAATGCCACATAGTTCTTAAATTAAGATGGATTTGACTTATTTTAAAATGCCAGCTGATTAACACAGCTGGTGTCACAAAAGAAAGTAGTAACGGCTTTAGCCACTATGAAAAGTTGGTAATCCCCACGTCAAAACAAAAAGAGAAGTGGCAATTTGGCATTGAGGGAGGCACCAGATAGGGTCTTCAGAGCTGAGAAGTAGCAGTGCCAGCCTGTAAACACACGCGCTGAACATGGACCCAGCTCCCCCAGGGCAAGGGTCTGCAGTCACCTCACTGTGAGATGAGCTGTACAGCACAATTTCACATAACCAAGTATTGAAATATGAACAGAAGATAATGCTTGTTCTAACAGAATTTTGTTTTTGAAACAGGGCTTTGCTATGCCTTTCTGGCTACCTTGAACTCACAATCCTCCTGCCTCAGCCTCCTTCATGCTGAGATTGCAGGCACGTGCCACCATGCTCAGCTTGTGTTCACCTATCTCAAGAGCAAAGATTTCCTATGACCCAGAACAAGTATTCAGGTTTCATGGTACTTGTTATGGCTTATGTCTAGATGTTCCCCCAAAGCCCCATGCAGTCATGGATTGGGGGGCTTTTCAGAGGTGGCAGGATCTAGAGTGTGTGGTGCTGGGGTTAAGGGTGTGTGATTACTGAATCAGTCCACTGATTGTTTTGACATAGTTCTGGCTGGGATTAGGGATGTGAGTGCTACACTTGCCCTAGGGTAGGTAGGGACAGAAAGAGGCTTGTCTTCTCCCTTGTTGCTTTGCTACCATCTGCCCACCATAAACTATTTTCCTCTGCCATGCCACCCTGCCTTGGACTTGATTATGGACTGAAACCTCTACAGACTGTGAGCTAAATAAACCTTTCCTCCCTTAACTTTGGGTGTTGGGTATTTTGTCTCAGCAATGAGGAAAAAATAACTAAAGCAACACCAGAGACAGAATATACAGCTGTCAGACAAAGGAGTGAGGCTTTGGTTATTCGGCCATCCTCACTGTAGCTGCAGGGTAAGGCCTGGCCTGGGCAGAGAGGTTGGAAGCATCCAGGGTTAGTCCTCCTCACTCTGGGCAGGAGGCTGAGGCAGCACCACCCCATGAGGTGGACCAATCTTTCCCTAGTGCTTTAATCAAACATGAACCATGAGAAGGACTTGTGTTCATCTGAGGGTGCCCAGGGGATCCTCTGCCCCAGAGCTCCTGGCTACTGCAAGCCAATGCCAGCAGCCAATTCTCAAATTACCAAGAAGAATGACATATTCTGAGAACACTCACCACTCCTTGCAGCCCAGAGTTGTGACTCTGAGGACCTGGCATGACAATGACCAAGTGTAATCATGACCAAGTGCATTATCTTGTTTCCTGACACCCTTGCTCCCATGGGGACCAGAACACTGATGTGTCACATGTTCTGCCCTCTGTTCTCAGCTGGGTATTTACCCTCATCTGGCTGGGACAGATAAGAGGAGCGAGAGATTAGAACCTAATGCAAGGGCTCGAAGCCAGCAGGCCCAGCACACACCTGCCAACACCAGTGCCTGGAGTGAGGTCCAGAGAGCACCGAGCTCATCACTGGAGAACAAGAACACAGAGAGGGAGAAGGCAGCAAGACCACCCTATTCCTGAGTTCTCTTAGGGTTAGTAAAATAGTCATTGTAGTAACGTGCACCAAGTTTTGGCTTTGGAGAAATTACTGTTGGAGACCAGATGGAAAATCTTTACAGTCTCACTTGCACTAATGGGAAGCCTTCTTTAGTAATAATCAGGGAGTTGAACAACATCTTATGTAATGTCAACATGCTACTACTCTGGAGGAGCCTTCGATGATCCTCTGGTCTGGGGCTGGACCAGGAGAAGAAGGTTCAACCAGGATGCACAGCTCTGATTTCAATCTCAGCTGCTCTGAACTCTGCCAGCAAGCACAGAAGGTGACTTTCCCTATCCCAGAGAAGCTCCAGGAAGGAGCCCAAGAATGATAAAACATGAATGCAACAGAGTCCAGGAAGAGAGTTCCAAAGAGGGAGCTGAAGCCAAGGTAGAAAGGAACCACAGTGGGTTTGGAGGTCAGAGTCACACTCATAGTCATCTGTGTATCCATTATTCATCACCCAAAGCACCCTACCATGGACCAGAACCTGCAGATGTGGAGAAGGACAAGAATCCAAGTGGTCAAAGTGAAGCCCTGGCTTCAAAATTCTCCTTTTCATTTCCAGTGACCAAGAACTGAATGAAATCCAAAGTGGGGCTGGACAGAAGTAAGGAATAACCTGCAGCAAAGTGCTTGAGAATGTAAAATGCTGGGCATGGTCAAGGCAGCAATGGCCAATATATCCCTCCTTGCCATTTGTTTATGAGACCAACTGCTGGCAAAATGGTGAAGTAATTTTCAGGGCTGATTGAGAGAATTTTCAATAGACAAAAAGAATGTCATTGTATTGTATATACCTAAAATGTACCAATAATTTTTTTAAAAAGATTATAGCTTTAATTGTGTAGTTCAGAACATTCTACTGTGAAGCTGGTGTTGGTACAAAGTGATCAACCATGCTGTGGTTTCCACTGACTTTTCCTCTGAACTAGATACTGTATGATTCATGTCGGGGCTACCCAGGCCACACAAGAAGAGGAAAGGCTCAGCCGATGATGACATCTCTTTCCTCCACACCAAAGTTAGCAAAAAGGCCACTGCAAGTTTGCCAAGAAAACAAGCAGTACCATTTCATCAGAACAGGTGCACTAAGAAGTCTTAGTTCCCTTGGGGCTAAGGTTCTTGGAATTGTTCAGTCTTTGATTAACTGAGATTTAGCATCATTTAGGACTATAAAGTTGTTGCTCTATGCCACAAATACAGAGGTAATGATTTCCTTACTTTCATTAAATAGACAAATAACCTGGGTAACTCCAGTCCCAGAACAGTATGTGCCACACTGGATTTAGAAGGGCTCTCTCAGGCCTGTATGTTAAATGCTTGACCTCCAGCTTGGCTTTATTAGGCAAGGGGGCAGCTTGAGGAGCCAGGGTCTACCAAGTAAAGGAAGTTAGGTCACTCAGATCATTCTCTGGACCAGCCTTCCCTTCCTCTCTTTGCTTTCTGGCTGCATGAGGTAAGCTACTTCCACCCTACACACTCTGGCCACAGCCCAGAGGCAGCAGGGCCAAAGACCATGCACCAGAGCCTCTGCAAACTTGAGCCAAAAAAAGCCTTTCCTCTTTATGAGTTGATTATTTCAAGTGTGGTTATAGTGATGCAAACCTGATGAACACAGTGTCTTAGTCACTTTCTTGTCACTGGGGCAAATTACCTGACACCTGCAGCATAAAGGAGAGTTTTATTTTGGCTCACAGTTATAGTCCATAGTTTCCTGGCTCCAAAGCAGAAACAGCATGGCAGAGTGGGCTAACCCAGACAGAAGGGAGGAATCGAGGAGGGAGATAGACTCTCCTGGTTCATGTCCCTAATGTCTTGCCTCTTCCAATCAGGCCCAATTCCCAACAGCGCATTCAGCTCTGAACTCAGACCTTGATGAATAGATTGCCGCCTTGAATCCCCTTTCAAAAGCCCTACCTCTGAAAAGATGAGGCTTTGAGGGAACAATCTGGGTCTGAACCATAACATTCTGCCCCGGCCCCCAAAAGACATGTTCATCTTATTATGAAAAATGCACTTAGTCCATCTAAGAGTCACCAAGGTCTTGACAGTTTCAGCATTGCTAAAAAGTTCAAGTCCAAAGTCTCCTCTGAGACTCAAGGCAAATTCTTAACTATGAGCTCCTGTAAAATTAAAAAGTTAAATGTTACCAACATACAGTGGCACATGGATGGATCAATACTCATGTGGGCAATGGGTTGACTGGTTAATGTGTCATGAGAGCTTCTTGGTGGAATCTCTCCTATGTCCCCTCTCTTACCACACTGCACTCTCCATGACCCAGCAGAATATCACCAGACACTGACCAAAGTCAGCACCATGCTCTTGGGCTCTCAGAACCATGAACTAAATAAACATGTTTATTTTGTATAAATCATTCAGCCCCAGGAATTCAGTTATAGCAACAGAAAATGGACTAGGCCAGCTTACCTGTCTCACTTCCAATCAAAGGCTGGTTTGCAAAATGCTTGACAAAATCCTTTAGAGATGAGTATTCATTAAAGCCAAATTTATATGAATATCCAGTGTATTCAACATGGAAGTGCTTGACAGAGTCTTTGGCTCTGAAAGGAAAAAAAGAACCGTTTAATGTTTTTTAACATTCCTTTTTTTGGAGACAGTGTCTCACTGTGTAGTTCAGGCTGAACTTGAACTCACTATGTAGCCCAGGGTGGCCTCAGACTCTCAGCAATCCTCCTGCCTCAGCCTCCATTGTGCTGGGATTATAGGTCTGTGCCACCATGCCTGGCTTAAAAATGAGTTTTTGGGTTTTTTTAATGGCAAATATTGTATTAGTGCCATGGAGGTGGGGGGGTTGGGGCAGTCATGCTGTGTAGTTCAGTCTGGCCTTGAACTTAGTATGTAGTCTAGGCTGGCTTTGAAATCATGGCTCACAGGTGTGAGCCACCAAACCATGCTCACCATTAACCTTTTTTAAGAACTGAGAATGTGTGATCACTGAAGTCACTGATGGCCTTAAAGAGTATCACTCATTTCTTTCGGCACAGTACTTCCTCTTCAGCTTTACCCCCTACTGTCAGAGGCCATTCCCCCCTTCTCCTTGAGTGTCACCCTCATGGGGGCAGCAGCGGGAGACAGCAGGGATGGAGCAGGTGGGAGCAGTGCAGGATGAGCTCATCGCTCTTCTGTCCTCGGGCTGTCAGTTCAACTCCTTTTGCTGGACTAAGTGAGCCCAGCTCACGTCCCCCAGCCTGCTCCACTGTCTCTTGGATACTGGATTTCTGAGCCCTCACTTCCCCTTGGTCTCTCCAGGTCCCCGGCCACACACCACCTCCCTGTCAAGTATCATGACTATCCCAGCCTAAGGGGGTTGCTTCTTCTGTTCTCCACTATCCTGCCTTCTTTGATGTTATTACTACTTCTGACTTTGTAATACTTTGGAGTCTTATTGGTCCAGTGAGGTGTTAGCATAAGGTCTTTGACTCTTCTACAAGACTTATCAATGGGGCTGGGGCAGAATCAATGCGTTCGAATATTTATTATTAAGGGAATAAGCTGGCTCCTCTCCTGGGAGGGGCTGCTACCTACAGGCACTCCAACTGCCTGTAATGGAAACCAATGCTACAGTGTAAGCAAAATATGTGGTGGATGTTTAAATAAAAAAGTTAAAAATTTATTATAGGAAAAGACTCATTCCTATTAAGCCCCCTCAAAATACTCCCCTTCGCTTATGCAGAATATGCTTATCTCATTATTCTTGCCATTTCCTGAAGTAGCTCTCTTTCACATCTTTATGAAGAATGATTAAAAAAAAAAACAACCCTGTTGAGTGCTGGAAATTTAGCTCAGTGGTTCCAGCACCTGCCTCGCAAGTGCAAGGTCCTGAGTTTGATCCCTGGTACCAAAAATCAAAAAACAAAAACCCCCTGTTGAATGTTGCTGCTGAGTGCCATCCAATGGAAAGACAGCTTGTAAAAACCTAACAGCATGTGCTCATCCACTTTATTCACCATATCTGGCATTGTGCGATTCAGCTCTTCCCCAATTGACCTTGAAAGGTCAATGTTTTAATAATTCCACTTGTTTGAAAGTTTTGGAAGGTCCATGCCCAAAACACCTGCAGGCTGACTGTGTGGCGAATTTTAACTGCTCAGTCAGAGAAAGCGTGAATCTTACTGTCACCCACAGATAATTAATTCCATAGTGCATCAGTAATTTCCCCACCCATGTTGTTCAGAAAACTTGTAAACGAAATATCCCAGGGTAATGTGAAACATACTAATGAGTGTGGTTTTTGTCTTTAACTCCCTGGCTCCCAATCTTTAACTCCCTTTCTTTAACTTCTCCCAATGGGAATGGGAGGTGCCAGCCATATGCAGTCTAAGGTGCTCTATACTCTGGAGCCCCGACACCTCCACCCAGTTCATCAACAACGACCCTTTATGAAGGGTGTAGCCATGATGGGCTTTGCAGATCCTGAAGGTGCTGGTCCGGGTTGCATTACTGCAGGATGGGCAGACATCCGGCTGGGCCTGAGTTGTCACATGAACTCTGAAGCAGGGTTTTCTCTGTCCAGAGGAGAGGAGCTGAGTGACTGAGACACGGCCCATGCTGCAAGTTTCTGGGGTCATGTGCAGGAACCTCAGGGAGCAAAAGGGCAGTCGGAACCCCAGCTCTGCAGGGGCAGGGACGTGCATGGAAAAGAGTGAGGGGAGCAGGGAGCACAGCCCAGACACTGAGCCCTGTGTGCCGGGGGCACAGCCCAGCCCCAACTTCGGCTCAGCCTCTGGAAGCCACAGAGGCCAGCATGCTTGGTCCAGACTTTGGAGGTGACCAGCCTGTGCTGACTTAAACCACAGTATGGTCTGGAAACTTGCTAAATGCAGAGAAATGAATCCAGGAGGGCCCAATCAGGAAGAAGGTAAGTGTAGGTGTTGGTGGAAGGGACAGGGACCTGCCCAGTGCCAGGACAGCCACATGGTGAGTGGCAGCCTGAGGCTAGGCGAGTGGCTGGGGAGACCCCAGGGGTCCACCCATCCCAATGGGGCTACAAAGCCAGGCACAGTCATAGTCTGAGGCAAGCAGCAGTGCCTCCCTGACTGTCACCCACCAGGGACACTGGCCAGGGAGAATGGCAGGGAGGCCCCGAGACTGGACATCACCTGGCGGGCACCCCTAACCTCTCACCTCTGGGGAACAGGCTCAGGAAAGGAGCTGCCCCCCAGTGAGAAGTTCAGCTGCCCGCTTGGCCTCGGGGCTATGGACTCTGCTGCCACAGCTGTAGCTGGCCTCTGAGAGGCAGACAACAGGGAGGAGGACACAGGTCGAGCCCCAGGGGATGGACTCAGGTTCTTCCTCAGCCAAGGGAGGCTGGGCTCACTCCTCCCTGCTCCTCCAGCTTCAGCATCTCTGGGCGATCTTTAGGTTTCACCCCTTGGCATGACCGGTCCCCAGGGGAACGGGAAGTCTGCTGTCAGGCAGCTGAGAGGTGAGGATGGGTCAGCAGCTGGCAGTGGGGCGCCGGTCTCTACCCCACACCTACCTCACAGACAGGGAGTACTGGCCCGGCTGCTCGTGTCTGTCCCTCAGGAGGTAGCTGCCGTCGCGCCCGTTGGACAGGAGCAGGGCCTCTGCCGCGTGACGCGTGAGGTCGCCATGGTACCACCTGAAGGGAGGACAGCGCTTTCACAGGGGCTGCAGGGCTTCCCCCAGTTTCCCCTCCAGACCACTGTGGAGAGGTCCACGCCCAGGCTGGGGGAGGCTGAGGCGAGAGTGTGGTCAACAGCTGTGGGCTGTGGGCCTTCAGGGCGGCCTCCCTGGGGGTAAAGTCTCCACTGCGTAGCATCCAGTGGGCCCTGAGCACTGTGACCTGGGCTGAGCGTCTGTGAGAGGAAGCTGGGCCAGACCCCACTGGGAGCAGCCTCGTGGGCGTGGACGGTGCCAGGCCAGCCGGGGCTGGGCAGAGCTCTCCCATGGCCTGAGAGGAGCTGTCGGCTGACACCTGCCCAGGACCAGGGCCTGGACCCGGAAACAGCAGGTGTCTGCTGGAGAAGCCGCCTGGGGGGTTGTTGGCAGGCAACTTAGCAAACCAGTAGTGTTCCCTCCCTGGGAACAGAAAGCTTTGAAACGTCTCCTCCAGAATGGGCCTTGAGAATAGAGGTGACCGGGTTTCTCCCTTCCTTTGGTCTCTCTCGTGTTTTCTTTCACAAGGGTGGGGTCATTTCACAGGAAAGCTCTGACCCAGGATCATGCGTGAAATGAAACGCCGTGGAAAGAGCTCTGTTTTCACACTGAGGGCAGGCCAATCGGGGATTGCTTCAAACTTACAAATGTCTAAAGAGCCAGGAAAGTCCCAAGGAGAGTCAGATTGATCTCTGTGTGTTTTAGAGTTGATCACTGTGCTCCAGAGAGGTAACATGGCTGGGTGGCTGGCACATGCCTGTAATCCCAGCACTCTAGGAGGCTGAGGCAGTAGGATAGCAAGTTCAACCCCAGGGTGGGCAGTTTAGTGAGACCGTCTCAAATTGAAAACAAAACGAAAGGGGGCACCCAAGGCTGTGGAAATGATGCAGGAGGACTCTCATTCCAGAGTCGTTCTTGCACACAAGCCTAAGCTCCCCTTTGTAGAGGGGAAGTGCTCCCTCCCAAGAGCACTTTGAGGAGCACATCCTCGTAGGGGTGAATGTGGACCCAGAGACCCTTCGAGTCCTGGCAGGATCTGTTCACCTTGGGCTGGGCTGGGCTGGGCTGAGCCACACCTGCTCCTCACAGAGCTGCGTTCCCACAGTCCCCACTTCACACCTGTGCAGTTGCTGCAGGGGGGGCCAGGCCGCTGTCCAGGGAGCAGAAGCGGAGAAGCCCGGGCCAGGCTGGGGGAGGCCACTGCCTGATTTGGGAGGAGGGGATGCATCTCGGATGGGCGGGACCCCGTGCCCAAGGAGGACAGCAGGCCAGGCTGAGGCCCTCCAGGAGCCCACATCCAGTCACTCAAGTATTGCAAGGCGCTCAAGCTGGGGGTTTTGTGTTTTTTTTCCCAGTACTGGGGATTGAACTTAGGACCTTGTGCTTTCTAGGCAGGCATGGTGCCACTGAGCTAAATCCCCAGCCCCTCAAGCTGTCACTTTCTCCTTTTGCCTCCAAGGCCTACACATGTTCACCAGCAAGTCTCAGGGTTAAAGAACCAACAGAGCAGAGACAACCAGGCTTCCAGAGAACATCTACACCGGGCTTCCAGTCGTCAGACCTCTCAGGTATTGGAGGGCCCTTGGTGCCCCTTCTGTGGGACAGTAACAGACCCACATGAGTCGGGAAGCACCGCCCACTGAACAGCCTGCATAGTAAAGGCAGACACAGAGCAGGCAACCCAGGAAGCAGGTCCCAGCGCAGCCCAGCCCTGCTTCTCCGTCTCTGAGCGCTGCAGCCATGCGGGAGGCTGCTCCAGCAGATCCAGAGCGCCAAGGTTTCTTTCCCAATGGTTTATCTTCTTAACAACTTGCTAATTTAAAATTCAGATCACACTTGCCCTGTCCTGTAGCAGTGAGGCTGCCAGACTTTCTGAACTGAGTCACAATACAAAAGGTATCTTAGATCATTCCCTAGACACACACACGCGTGCACACGTGCGCGCGCACACACACACACACATGCACATGCCGGAGAGCTACAGGAAATAGCACTCATCCCCCCTGGAATATGCAGCTGGCCATTTTTTATGGATTGTGAACAAACACTGATGTGACCCACTAAACTCATGATGAGACCACTTACAGGTTGCACAGGAGTCTGGAAAGCAGGGCAGGGCTGTTGGAGCTCAGTGGACAGTGTTCCCCTCTCACAGGAGCTCAGGCTGGACCCAGGACAGCAGAGAACAGCAGTCAGTGCCCTGCTGCTCTATATATCACTGGCTCTTACCAGAAATGCAGCTTGGCGGCCACCCCAGCCTGTCAAGCCTGGTGATTGTGACTCGGCTTAGACTGGGAGAAGCAAGGGTGTGAAAGGCTCTGGCTCTCGCAGATCTGTCTTCCAGCCAGCAGAGCCCACAGCATGACCTCACTGTCCTGATCACTGGGGTGGTGGCCCAGGTGTCGACTCTAACGTGCTCCCTGTCCTGAGTGCTGCAGTCAGTCCACAGCAATTGCCTGGTACCGACCTCATCCCGGTTTCTGGGGTGGTGCCAGGTGCTTCCTGGTGTGGTAGATGAAGCTCTCCGCCCTCAGTGTCATTGGAAACCACGGGCATGGGCTAAGGAGCTATCTCATTTAGCATTTGTGTTACAGTCAGGCTCTATTTCAGCAAGAGAAACCACATTATCTTCCCACTGATCATGGTGGTGGACTCGGTCCAGTACAGGGACCCAACAAAGCTTTTGCCAAGGGACAGGGACATCTCTCTGTGCTGGGCCTCAGACAGGCAGAGGCCAAGGGGAGACCCTGCTCTGCCCAGCAGGAAGTGTCCCGGCAGGGAGCTGGCCTTTCTTGCTCCTGTTCGAAATGCCCACATTCACAGTGTCACCAACCGAGAGAAGCGCAAGGCCACTGCCCAGCTTTGGGAGACAGACTCAAGTGATGACAGGTGGCTGTGTGCACACTGAAGCCATCCATGAGTTTAAGGTGGGTCTCAAGTTTCCCATAGGTATGGATGTACACCCCAAGGAAAACAGCACTGGAAGGAGAAGAGAATCTGAGGGAGCTGGAGGCCAGGACTCACCTGTTCTTGAGGGAGTGTGAAGAGTGAGGCGAGAAGTTCTAGGAGATGGAAATGCAGAGACAGACAGAGACTCAGAGGTTCCAAGACACAGTGGCACAAGGTCCAGAGACCTAAAAGTCACAGATAGCCAGAGAGGTGGGAGACAGACAAAGGCCACCACAACGAAGACAGTCTCAGCACGCAGGGACAGGAAAACCCCGTGGTGCTGCAGACAGGAGGTGCTGAGACTAAGGAGAAGAGAGGCTCGAAGCCGAACTCCTTCATCCCGGAGGACCGACATCTGTGACATAATTATCTGGTGACTCAACCCAAATCTATACATGGCGTGGCAAAATCCAGTGGATATTCAAAAAAATAGTTTGACTGCAGTAAAAGACACACTGCCATGAATCCTCCTCGAGTTTCTCCTCCTTGCTTGGAACACACTTAGCCCATCATTCTTGCCAATTTCTCCAGCAGCTCTGGAGTCCTCTTTTCTTAGGGTCTTTGTTGTGCAGTCCTGGCTGCCTCCATGTCCTAAATTGATTCAAAATGTGGAGCTTTCATGGTTATTCCAGTTTGGAGGAAGAACCGGGAGTGACAGGGTGCCACATCTGGTGACTAAGGTGGATGAGAACGCAGCCTCATGTTTTCACGAGCCTGACTTTCCCATGGATGACACTTGGCAGCAGCATTCACTATGTTTTTCATCACACCTTGCAAAGACACTCAAGCAATAGGGTTTGCAGAACTGCTTCAGAAAGCAGTAAGAGCGCTGGGATAAGTGTGTTTGAAGGGAGGGAGTGTTTTCAGGGTCGTTAATGCACTGTGTCTTTCACTGCGCTAAATTTGCTAGGCGGGCACCCAGCCTATCTTTTGCTCAGCCCTTGTAAGCTACTGGTGGGCGGAACAGCAGAAACAGGAACACGAGGCCCAGGCAGGGTGAGACAGTCACAGAAAGAGCAAGTTAGAAGACAATTGTGGGACATTAAGGTTTTCAGAATGTCTTGGATTCCATCTTGAAAAATATGCAAGAGCAGAAGAACTAGTTTTACGTGAACGTGAGTCACTTCTGCTGTTTGATCCAAGGGAGCTACTGCATTCCGCCCCTGCTCCTGCCTTCCTCCAGGTCGCCGCTGGTTTCTTGGTCACCACTTTGTGAGTTATCTAATTAGCCACTGCCACCCATCACACTCAGCTACACAGTGTATCACCTGACGACCGGACCTGGTGACAGTATGACCCACATTCCTCTGTTCAGTGGTCCCAAGACACCCACTGACCACTCTTGCCCCAGCCCTCTGAAGTCTGGGACAACCTGAGCATCCATACTTTAACATGGGCCACAGGCTGCTGAGGGTCCAGACTGCACCTGCTCCGAGATGGACAGAGGCGACAAGGGGAAACACCACCTGAAACCAGAAGCTAAGCCATGCATACTGCGTGGTCTCACTTCAGTCTGTGTGTGTGTGTTTGTCCGTGTGTGTGTTTACAAAATATTTTTAAAATTGAAGCAGTATATTTCAGGTGATAGAACAAGGTTGGCATCTTTGATGCATGCCTTTATTTCTCCAATTTTCGATAGCTAATATATATATATATTCTTATGACTGTTTATTACGAATAATTTCAGATGAACAGGAAAATAGGAAATAGAACAAATGCTAATGTAAGTAATGCCCACGTTTAAGTAATACCCATACTTTAGGGATCAGCGGAGGACCCTGGGCTTAGGCGCCTGAGGCCACATGGGCTTTTAGAAGTGTTCTTCACTCCTATCTCCGCCTGTTCACTCCTTCACTGGAGCCTTCTTTCTGCCGAGAACACCACCTTTCCTGCCTGAACTGACAAGCATCCCACGGCTCCCAGGCCCTTCCCCAGCACAATGTCCTCCTCCTGCCACAGCACGCGCCCCGAGGGCTCCTATCGGCTCCTCAGTGCCTTTGCGGCCCACCCCACTGCCCCAAACAAGGTCCTGCTCTGCCAATCCATCTATGGATGAGAATCCAGCAGAGCCCCTCCGGGGTGGAGCACCCGTGGGACAAAGTCACAGGAGGAGGAGGAGGAGCAGGAAACACAGCCTGGGAGAGCAAGCTCAGGGAGGCCCCAGAGCTCTTGTGTGGCTGTGTCACCTTGCCTCCATGCACAGCTCCCCTAAACTTCTCACCTTATGCTTTTCTTGGCCTGGTTAATTTCTTCTAGTCCAGAAAATGGACTCCATACACCATGCAGCAAGGGCCTGGTAGTCAGGATATCCCCCGGCTGTGTGTGCTTGAGTATGGTGCGGAAAATGCGAACAATAGTGCCTCTGGTTACGAGCTGTGCTGGTCTGCAGTAATCACAGAACTTTCTTTGTTCCCTCAGTTCGCACGACCATGAGAAGTTGTACCCGTTGAATAAAAAGAGAAGTTTGACGAAATTTAGGAAGTTGCCTCAGTGGCTAGCGGGTCTGGATCTGAAAGCATGTAAACTTGGGCTTTTTCTCTTTTTCTTTCTCTTTTACAGCACTGGGGACCCAGGGCCTGTGCACTGGAGCATGTGTTCAATCCTCAACGCCAGGACAAGATGACATTTCTGCCTCCTCCCGGAGCTGTGTGAGTTACACGAGATCAGCTCACAGGACCTGAACAGTGCCCGGTTATGGCCGGTGTGCGGTGCTTGCCCGTCCCAGGAGGCTGTGCAGGTTGGGAGCCTGGAGGTGCCTTCCCTGGGGACAGCGTCTGTGACAGTGCCCAGCAGGCCCTGCTATGTGGGCTGAGGGACACATGTGCCAGGGGCCTGGTCTCTGTGAAAGCAGCCAGCGACCTGGACAGCCTGACCCACCTCCCGCCCGCTCAGCCTTCTCCTCACACCTGGCCCTGCCTGCCTCTGCCTCCCATCCCACAGCTCCACAGCGAAGTGAAACTGTGCCCTCCTCTTCTGGGAACACAGTGCGCTTAGGGGAAAGCAAGCAGGTGCTTTTGGACTGGCTTTCTGTAAACAAAACACGGAAATATATCTGACTTCCTTTTCTTTCCTCCCTCTCTCCCTCCTTCTCTTCCTTCCTTTTTGCTGTACTGGGGAATTGAACCCTTTGCACTGAACTACAACCCCATTACTTTCTCTCTCTCTCTTTCATTTTGAAACAAGTTTTCGCTAAGTCACCACATTTCTGAGGCTGGCCTTGAATTTGCAATCCTCCTGCCTCAGCCTCCCAGAGTACTGGGATTACAGGTGTGTGCTCTACCACGCCTGGCTTAATTTAAGTACATTAGAGAATCATAGTCCTGTGCAAGTCTGAGCAAGTCATGTGTGTCCTGGACAGGCAAATGGCAGGTGTGCTGCAGTGCAGAGTTCAGCTGACAGGACTTACTCCAGAGCCTGAAGAGACTCAGGGACCTAAGAACTGAGACCAGTACTCTCTCTAATTTAATCACAATCTGCTTGTATCTATCAAGATATAAACACAGGGACTTCCTAACTAGTCAAATAACCTACTAAAATCACTCGAAATTAAGTCATTAAGATCAGCCATGTTTTATTCATCAATCATATTGGATCTTTTTGTTTTCATGGAGCTTTTAAAATACTAAGTTAGGCAGGAGGTTTGGTACAGCTCAGACCTCACCAGTGAGTCAGATATCCAAGGAACAAGCTAATTCATACTCAGAATCTTGCCAGAGGTAGCAAGTTCTCACCAAGATTTCCCAAATTATTACCCATAAAAATCAGAGCGTGCTCTCGAGGGGCAGGTGCTGGCTCAAACTGATCACTACAGATTCAGTTTGCAAGCTAGATGTAATGGCCTTGGCAGCTTAAAGTTGTCCATTCCTTGGTAGAGGCAAGAAAATACCAGGAGGGCCGGGGATTTAGCTCAGTGGTTCCGCCACCTGCCTCGCAAGCGCAAGGACCTGAGTTCGATCCCTGGTACCAAAAAAAACCAAAGAAAATACCAGGAAAATAGACAAATTCTGGAAATTAGGGAGGGCCAGTGAGCATGTTTAAATAGAGAAGTGGAAAATGTTCTAAACCTGATTTGTGGTGATACTGTACCGTTCCTTAAAGTTGCAAAAAGGTACTGGATTCTATGTTTCAAATAGGTTAATTTCATAATATGTAAATATACCTCAATAAAGGTGTTAACCAAAATTCCTCAAACTAACAAATGAGGTGTCAACATTTGCTGATGTTTGTGAAAGGCAGGTACCCACCGCAGACTTACATGAGTAAGAGCCTGAAGACCTCCATGCTTTTAGTGATGTACTCTAGGTAGTGACCCAACCTCAGAGATGTGGATGTTCAGCCCTAGTGAAGCCCTGGCAGAGAGATTCTTCAGACCTGCTGTGTTTTCTAGCACAAGCAAGACCTGGTACAGAAGGTCGCCCATGGCTGTGGAGCAGACCTGTTTGGGACGAATTTTAGGGTTCTGCGACAGAGAAGCCTGACTTTAGGCCACTCTGTTGTTGGTGACTCTGGGATGTCTGCTCTTTTCAAGTGGAGGATGTGTGTGGCTCACAGAGGGGACACCACCCTGAGCACAGAGATGCTGTCTCTTTCATCATTGCCACATAAATATGATCAACAGGACTCCAGCAGAGACCGGGCTTTGGGACTTATTAAAGGGCCAGGGCTGAGTTTTTCCTGTCTCTCTGTTCCTCTAGGTTTCTAACTACAGATGACTGAGAAGACCAAGACAAAACACACACGACCTTGAGCTTAATGATTCAGCACAACTCTAGAGGGAGAGCCCAAGTCCACCTCTAGGGCACAGACTGTCTGGATCTCATGGAAGGGACTCAGTAGAGAGGTGTGAGGCTGGGATATTGCTCCACTAGCACGAGCCCTGGAGCCCACCCAGCACCACACACACACTGCAAAGACAGATCCTATGGCTCTGAGTCCCTAAGGAGGGGTTTGTCCTCGAACATCCCAGCTGTCACATCTGATTTGCCTCAGGAAGGCATCGTTCAGGTCCGAGACCTGTGTCAAAACCCAGGGGTAGGAAGTCCTGAGGGGTCTCCAGCGAGAAGAACCTGCTGTTTTAACACACGTCCTGTTTCCATCCCCCTGCCCCCCGCCCCTTTAAGGGCACAGCCCCTGGAAGCCCTGCACTCCCTGGATGTGTGACAGAAAGTGCACACTGCAAACCCCTCTGGTGCTGTGTCTTGGGTGGAGGATGCTGACAGCTCCTTATCTGAGAAGGAACCTCGTGCCACCACCCTGGAAGGACAGGTAGTCACTACTGGCCCTGCCGGTGCTCCCAGTGCTGGAGGGGAGGCTGGTTTCTCCGGGAAATCTCCACTCCTGTCCATAATGACTGCTTCTTGCACCAAATACCCTGATGGTGCTGTCCTTCTGACCTGGTCTTAAAGACAGGTCTGAGGACCCCGCCCCTCCAATCCTCAGTCCTGTCTCTGGCCGCTGGTGTGCAAAGGCTCATAGCTGCCCTCTGACCTATGCCCCATGCGGGAGCTCCAGCCTCACCAGGAGGAAGAAGCACAGGCGAGACTGCTGCAGAAACTTCCTCCTTCGCTCCCATCCGAGGAGGTCCCTCTGCTTTCTGTTTAGGGTTGGCACTGTTTATCGCATGGCACAAACCCTGACTACCTGCTCACCACCAGAGCGCACAGAGCAACAGCAGCACACGTCCCATCCCAACCGCCCTCTCAGACGATGTCCAGCGTCTGATTTCTGTCCCATTTTCTCCTTCTGCTGGTTTCCACGTCCGATACAATAACCCACACTTTTACAACGGAATCAGCCCCCCAAGAAAGGCACCAAGCCAACACGAAGGAACAGAGCGGCCAGGCCAGAAGGTGAGGGGCATGGGGGGAGGAAAGGCCTGGAAAGTCACCGGCCGCAGCGAGCTCTGTGGGGCGCAGGGTGAGGTCCCCCCACAAGAGGCAGGGGCTGTGATCCTACCCCAGGTCTCGGAGGAGCTCAGCATCCCCGTCGGGTCGGCTCCACAGGTCCGAGGGTGCCCGGGTACTCATGGTTCCCTCCAGAGACTCCGCTCTGCCCATCCGCCCAGCAGCTCTGCTCCTGGCCAGGTGCAGTGCAAGGAGAGGGCGGGTTCGGCTGCCCTCACTCACTCTCTGGAGCCGGCTTGGCTGGGAGTCCCCAGCCAGCAAGGAAGTGAAACCCGACTCCTCCCACAGCCACCCGCCCTAGCCCCGGGCCCCACACCAGAGCTCTGTGAGCCAGGAAATATGCTCGCTGAGGCCGCCCACTCTGCTCACCGGGGCGCTTTTCTGTCAGAGGACGTGAAGGGCCGCCCGCCTGGACCTGGACGCTGCCCTGATGCCGCTCACGGCGGAGCCTCAGGTGTTTGGGGTGCACGCCCTCTAAGCCTCCTGTGTCCCATCACCCAGGCAGAAGCCAGGAGGAGCTGCCGCACTCAGAGCACCTTCAGGGGTGTGAAGAAATCGGCTCAAATCTCCAGCTCCTCCGGCAGTCTCCAGCAGGGGCTCAGGTTCTGCATAGCCGTCTGAGCTCCCTGTGGACCTCACACCCCACCCGAGGCTCAGTGCTTTGCTCCCTGCAGGAGCGACTGGGGAGGAGGCGATCCGGCTGTCCTGCTGCCCAGCTGATGGGGCTCCGCGCCCGGCCGGCTGTGTGTCTGCATTGAAGGGAGCAGCTGTGACTGTGCGGTTGCAAGTGGGTCTGTGGGAACTACGGTGGGCCTGACCCTGTGAGTGGAACCCTGGGCAGCAGCGGCTGAGGAAGAGCTTGCTGGGAAGGTGCCCACCCCCAGGCTCTCTCCCGAACCCGACTGACCAAGAGTCCCCGGGTGATCTGAGATGGCTTCTTTGCTAGAGCCGTCTGAGGCCGGCAGCCCCAGTCAAGAGCTCCTCAGTGTGGACGGGACTGTGCTGGGGACTCCGCCCACGTTCGCCTCCGTCTGTCCCCGAGAGGCAGCTGGGGGAGCGAGCTGAGTGTGCACCGAGCGGGTACGGGGTGACCTGGGCAGAGTCCAGGCAGGTCCGCGTGTGCACGGCAGAGCTGGGCAGAGCCTGAGTACCAGCTTCCTGTTCCTGCTCGGTAGCCTTGTTCAGTGCTTTAGTCTCTACTTTGTTCCCGTTTTAGCAAATTCTGGTTTTATTTTCTTCACTGGTTTTGGGGGTAAGGGAGTAGCAGCATTTGCCCAGATGACCTCGTCAGTCTTCGGCCCTTCTCCTTTTGCCACTCTGCTCTCCCAGCCGTGATCTCCTCCTCTGACGTCATTCTTCCATTTGTCACACGGAACTGCTCCAGGGCTCCCGCCCTTCCCTGCCACCGAGGGGGTTCTGTGCACCCACGTGGGGCACAGCCCGCTGCAGCCCAGCCAGGTGGCTTCAACAGCATGCTGGGTGGGCATCAGCGCCCTGGTAACTTGCTTCACACTTGACCATCCAGATGTTATGTTTCAGTACTTCCGAAAACCGCCCCATGCTATATTTTAAAAAGCCACGTAATTCGCTTATTTCACTGCTCTCTCTTCAATGCTGCTGGTTCATGACACTGAATCTTTTCCATACTGGTACTGGACCTAGAAATGGACACAATTAAGCAAGTTTTAACAGTTTGAGAACTTTTCATCCTTTGTTAAATTATATATTACTATATATATGTGTAATGTAACATTTTTAAACAAAATATATTTACATATACATACCTACATATTTAATGTGTATATATGCTTTATTTTATTTATATGTCTTCTTGAAATGCTGTGGATAAACCCAAGGTCTCCTGGGTCTAGACAAGTGCTCTACCCCGAGAAAGAATTTTATCTGCGAGGAAATATTTTACTTATTCCCTCTACGGAGATTTTGAAAAGAAACCACTCCATACAGTGAAGACTCTCTGCGGCTCCTTCTTTGTTTATTCATCTTTATGGAAAGCTCAGTACCACAGTGTCTGCCGTTCCCCTGGCTGCCGGGTGTGGAGGCCATACCCAAAGTCTCAGAGGAGGGGATGGCGCTGTGAACTTCCGGTTGCCATCTGAACTTCCGGTTACCCTCTGCTGTGGACCGAACACGGACTCCTTCTCCCCATCATTCATGGAAGTGGGGATGAAGCATCCACTCAGAAAGGAAGATCGAGGTTCAGGTTTTCATGAACTGAGGCTACAGTGCCTCTGAGGGAGGAACCCTCGGCCTGTCTCCCACCACCTGTTCTCCACACCTAGGAAAAAGGAGAAATCTTCATTTCTTATTGAATTAGAGCAGAGGGATGACAGAGAAAGAAAGAACTGCATATGGCTTTGCACTTTTTCTAGCTCTCCAAGGAGGGCTTCCATTTCTCCTTTAATTCTGTGGCAAGCTCAGGGCCATAAGGGAAGGGATGAAAAAGGGAATTAAGATGTGTTGTCTATGTGTACCAACCCCACATGAGGAACATAAACATTATGTACTGTAAACATGTACTAATAAAATAATGATTAAAAAATAGTAAAGTAAAAAAACAAAAAACAACAAATGGAGTTTTACCTTAGATCATCCCCTCTTTTCTCTGCCACAATTAGTGTTCACCAAACACAGAATCTCAAAGGCTAAGACCTTGTTTGTCTCAGTTCACTCTCTTCTGTCTGTATAAACTGTCCTGGCTTCTTTGTTGGGAAAGGCTATCTGGACATGACTCTGCCTCATCAGCTTCGAGGCGTAAAGTTCACTTTAACCCTTTCTTCCTCTTCCAGGAAGCTAGAATCAGGCAAATATAGGGAGTTTTCTCAGAAGGGAAAGGATTGATATAAACACTTTAAACTTTACCCTATCCAGGCATCCTTTCCAAGCCGACACAATAGAATGTGAAATCCTGACCCCTACTAGGACCTTATTTATTACAGGTGGGGGTCTTTGCGAGGTGACTAAGTCATGCACCTCTGTGAATGGGATTAGGGACCTCATAAAAAGGACCCCAGAGTGCTCTCTCGACCTCCTCACACCAAGTGAAGATACAGCAAGGAATCCACAACCTGGAAGGGGGCTTCACTCACAGGCCTGACATGCTGGCAACTTGTTCTTGACTTGAAGCCTCCACAGTTGTGAGAAATAAGTCTGTTATTTACCAGCTAGCTAGGCTGTATGTTACAATGGTCCAAACTGTGAATACTCGTGGTTTCCTGGATGACTTAAAAATCTTGAAAGAATAAGCTCAATAGAAACATGGTATAAGCCCCTAGATGCTCAGTAAATATTTCATAAAGGTTTTTTAAATTTAATTTTTTGGTACATTGTTGACATACATAATGATCACATTCATCATAGGGAATTTGTACCTGTATGTATTATATCTTAATTCTTTTTTTCCCATTTCCCTCCCCTTCAATTCTTCTTCTGCTCTCCATTTACAAAACTTTATTTCTATTGTTTTCCTCCCATTCTTTTTTATTTTTTTATCCTTTTTTTTATCCTTTATTTTTTTCCCACACTCCTCCCTTGTTCTTCCTTGTTCCCAACATCTATCCTCCATTATGATCCTTACTTACCCTTTGAGTTTCTCACACAAGAGAAATAACGCAATATTTTAACTTGTGTATCCAATTTGTTTCACTTAAAATTATGTTCTTAAGGTGCATCCATTTACTTAAGAATGTCTCCCGTTTATCCTCCTTTTTGGCACAGTAGTACTACATTATATATAAAAACCACATTTTGCCGGGGATTTAGCTTAGTGGTTTTGCCGCCTGCTGCGCAAGTGCAAGGACCCGAGTTCAATCCCCGGAACCAAAAAAAAAAAACAAAAAAACAAAAACCTTAAAAACCACATTTTCTTTTTCCATTGATCTGTTGATGGGCATATGGGCTGTTTCCAAGGTTTACCTATTACAAACTGTGCTGCCGTAAAAATGGGTGTGCATATATCACTGTGATATGATGCATTTAACTCTTTCAGGAAGATGCCTAGAAGGAGAATAACTGGGTCAAATAAAACCTGTAGTTTTAATTTTTTGAGGAATCTCCATATTGAATTCCCTATTGGTTGTACCAATTTACACTCTAACCAAGAGTGGAAAAGGGCTCCTTTTTTCCCACAGCCCCACCAGCATTTGTTATTGGTTGATTTCTTGATAGTAGCCATTCTTTCTGGAGTGAGATGGAGTCTCAGAGTTGCTTTCATTTGCATCTCTCGAATGATCAGTGATATTGAACATTTTTTCATATATTTATTTGCTATTTATACTTCAACTCAGAAGTGTCAATTCCTTTTGGATTGGATCTTCAAATTTGGGAGGCATTTGATTTTTTTTAGTTCTTCATATCTTCTTAATATATAATTAATATAATATAAATATAATGGAATTATAATTATATAATATATTATAATATAATATTGATGTCAATATAATATTAATATATTAATATATTTTAATTCTTTATAGAGTCTAGAAATTAGTCCTTTGTCTGTGGAATACCTAGTCAAAATTTTCCCATTCTGTGGGTTATCTCTTTACTCTGTTGGTGGTTTCTTTTGCTGTGCAAAAGCTTTTTAATTTGATGAGGTCCCAGTTGTTGATTCTTTGTGAAAGTTAATTTCAGTTACTGAGAAATACAAAACAGTTGAGTGGAAATGCCAGCCGGGCAGGTGGACATCCATCCGAGTGGTGGCAAGAGGTAGTGTGGGCCACACCTGGTCACAGGCCTCTGCATCTGGTCACTCCACTGTTCTGGCTGTTGTCCTCACCCCTCCTTGGGATCATTCTGCTGGCCTTGGCCCTGTGCTTTTAAGACCCATGGGATACTGACCCGTCCTTGGTCCCTGGCATGTGCTCCTCTTCACTCTTGTGTGGAATCCCACCACTGCCTGCTTCTCCACCCTCACCATTTAATGGGTTGGCACCAGACTGCTGTGGCCAACACTCAGTCTATGTGTGTGATCTCCAAAGTTGCCAGGGATAGCGACTTGTCTTCTGTGTATTATCCTTATTTCTCTCCAGGCCTCTGTGCCAGCTCACTCTGAGGGTGTAGAGCAGAAATATGAGTGGTTTGGAGGTTCACTGGCTGGAGGTGACTCACCTTCTAAAGTTAGTGAATTAGAGCCACATCCAGACAAGGTGAACACAGTACCTGAAGGGAGCTGGCTGAGGCTGTATAGGAATCCTTTGCATTCTCTCTAGACCTCTCTCTAGGTCTCACTGTGGAGTAA